GTGGTTGGAATCATTTTGTAGCACAGCCCATAACGCCATAGAGCCTCTATGAGACTTATGAGTACATGGAGAAACTAATCGTCTGTACGAAATTGGAACAGCCATTATGAATGGCGGAAGTCCTGCCACGATGCGTTATTATGGTGTGTCTTTCTCTCAGAGCTTCGGGCTAGATGCCTTACACAACTTTCCTCTGTAGTTTTAGTAATCAATTCTCAGTTATCAAATAAGGGATTAATCAGGGTTGCGAAGATGTAGTCATCCATGTACGTGAGACAAGAAGTTTAGGTTCAGCCTGTAAATTTTGCTGATGGCGTTAATACTGGGCATTTACCTTTGGGAAGATTTCTAGACCATTCAGCTCAGTGCTCACATGCCCTCGATCGCTCAAGAAAATCACAGGCTAAAAGGGGCTGGATTTCATACCCAGATGTGGCGGTGAATTGACATGCGGTTGCTATACAACCGTTCCGTGCATCAAGGTCCCGGAACCACAGAAGTAAGACGACCGGTCCAACGGTTTCCCGAAACGGGAGGACTTGCAGATCGGTTGCTGCTACGACTCTGCGGCGTCATTTTACGACTCTAGGCTAACGGTTGACGGTTGACGGCTGTCGGCTTCCGCGTGTAGATGGGGTAGAGCTTTCTTTTGCTAGAGGCCCCGAGTCACAGCTCCAGCGGCATGTTGGTATATACCTGCTTCCATGACACAATGTGGCATTTGATGCTAATGCACGAAACGGACAAGTTCTACTTGTCCACGAGGAAACAGTAATACCCCGTAGGTGAGGATTGATTCAAGTGTCCCATGTGTCTTTCGGAGGAAAAGGTCGATCTCGAACCTCGGGATCCGCGGTCCATGTGCTCAACAGTCGTTTTGGGTCTTGATTGACCTCGCCTCGGTCGATCAAAGGTAGAGATGGCCAGCTAGCGTGATGAGGGGTGCGGCACTATTTGAGATATTTGTCTCTTCTCCCTTTACGAACCTTGAATGGTAATGCATTGCGAGAAAGGGAAACCCGGCATTTGTGGCGCAGAACATCTTTTGGGGGTTTTTTTTGGTAGAGCTACAAGCCATGAACCATCCCAACATTGTATTTGGCAGGCGAGAACGAAAATAGTCATGCAGCAGTTCCTCGTTAACGATGAGTGGGAGAACGATGCGAGAGGGGGTGGGTGTGAAGCACGGGCCTGGTTCCCTCGGGGGTGTGGTTCAGATAATCCTGGACGTTGCTTGCATGCGTGACAGCCAACTTTGCCGAACGTCAAAATGGATCTCAACCTTGGAATTGCAACATTGCACACAGAGAGAGGACTGCAGCAAGCAACACCGGATTCCCGTCTGCACGACTGCAGCAAGTCCAGTTTGCATGCAGCTATGCGTCGTCCAGTGTATCGGGGCTCCCTCTCGTACAGGAGAATAACCTGCATCTGCTAAAAGGTCGGATCATTACCCACAGAACTTCCAAGTTTAGAGTGATGGTCCATCTATTCCCCATTTCTCCAATACGAATTCTGTATCGCGAACTCCTCGCCATGGAGACCCCAAACTCAAGGAAATCCTTTTTGCTCAACCCGCCGCAAAAGCTGCAAACCAAATAACCGTTCCACCCAGAGAGATCCAGATCTTCCAGAGGCTTGGCAACACAAGTCTAAAATGTTTACTCGTCTCTTTTGGCTTCCGGTTACACGTCTGTGGTCGCAAGGGGGTTCCGCGGCCAATCTTGAGACGGAGAGGCTGCCAAGTTCGAACCGCAACGGTTTCATCTCTCCCCGTACCCGAACGCACAGCCTCGCTCGCCTCGCTTCTTGCCCACAACTCTACAGTCCCTTGTCTCTTATCGTCGCTGTCTGTCCGTACCTTAGTAAAAAAAAGGGGTGGGAGAGTTCATGGCGATGCGACACGATGACAAGGGCGCCTGGGGTTCGGAAACGTCGTGTACGGGGGTTGACGCAGCAGAAAATCGGTCACGACGTTCAGTGTTCGACGAAGTCGTCCAAACTCAGTCATGGGGGGTGAAAGTCCCCTCCTTTCCCTCCAGTCTGTCTCTCTTGTTGTTCTCCTTCACGTCATTCTGGTCTCTTTCTCTTCTCCCGCTCAACCCTTACCCTTCTTGTGCTCCATCTCGGCTTCGTTGACTATTGTCTCTGAAGCATTCCTTTCTTTTTCGTCAACGCGAGACCGTTGCGAAGACTTGTTCACAAGTCTATTCCATTCTTTACTCCTGGTCGAGTGCTCTCTTCGTATCCGCTTGTTTCAGGCTTCTCTTGTTTAATTCTTCCCTTCGCAGTCCAGGAGACATCTTGAGTAAACGAATTCTGTTGGTGATTTATTTTTATGTTGTTCTTTATCCATTTATAGCCAACTGAACCAACTAGCTATCTGGCACGGTAGCATCGAAAGAGCCAAGACGAAAGGCAACAAACGTTATCCACGAAGGAGCTGCGGCCTCGGTCTGATATCCCATAACGGATCACAATCTTTACTTAGACGACGACAACAACTTGGAACTCACAGTCAATCATGCGGGGGTTCTTGAAGGTTGCTGGCGCAGCATGCCTGCTGGGCCAGCTCGCGGACGCGGCTGTCAAGATCAACTTTGACCAAGACCAGTCCATCAAGGATGGTGCGAGCACAATAGCCTTCGGCTTGTTGAAGTTCTACACAGGAAACAACACTGGCGACACACCAGGCAACTTACCAGATCCGTACTTCTGTAAGTAATTTTGCCGAGGGGTTTCCATATCCGATATATTCTAACAAAGCATCAGGGTGGGAGGCTGGAGCGATGTTCGGCACAATGGTGGATTACTGGCGCCTGACGGGAGACGATTCATACAACGCAGTAACAACACAAGCGCTACTTCATCAGGCAGGCGATGACGCCGACTTCATGCCGAGAAACCAGACGAGGACGGAAGGAAATGACGACCAAGGATTCTGGGCTATGGCGGCAATGAGCGCGGCGGAGAACAACTTCCCGAACCCTCCATCAGACAAGCCTCAATGGTTGGCGCTGGCTCAGGCTACCTTCAATCAATATGTTAGCCGCTGGGATACGGCGACGTGTGGTGGTGGGTTACGGTGGCAGATCTTCACGTTCAACAACGGTTTCAACTATAAGAACTCGATTTCAAACGGATGCTTTTTCAACATTGCAGCTCGACTAGCACGATTTACCGGCAACCAGACGTACGCGGACTGGGCGGAGAAGATTTGGGACTGGGAGACGAGCGTCGGCCTGATCACGCCCGAGTTCAAGATTTACGATGGCGCCACGGTCGACAACGGGATGAACTGCAAGGATATCGACACGATCCAGTGGTCATACAACGCGGGCATCTTCCTGCACGGTGCCGCGACGATGTACAACTTGACCCAGGACAAAAAGTGGTTAACGCGAACCGAGGGCGTGCTGACCGAGGCGACGACGTTGTTCTTCAACCAGACCGCCATGTTCGAGCAGGCCTGCGAGGCATTCAAGCTGTGCGACCAGGACCAGCAGAGTTTCAAGGGGTACTTCACGAGGTGGATGGCCGGAACGGCGCAGGTGGTGCCCTCCCTGTTTGACAAGATTATGGGTCTTCTCAGACCCAGCGCCGAACTCGCTATTGCCGCTTGCAACGGTTCGCCGGCTACAGGCTACAAGGGCCAACCGGGTACGGCGTGCGGATTTCAATGGGTGCCCAAAGGCCAGTTCGATGGCCTGGTCGGTGTGGGCGCGCAGATGAACGCGCTCGACGCCGCCATGTACATGCTCGTGAAGAAGGCGGACACCAAGACGGCGCCGGTGACGGCCGACACGGGCGGCACGTCGGTGGGCAACGCCAACGCCGGCATGAGCTCGCAGCCCAAGATTCCTACGTTGCCGCCGATCGAGACCAAGGATAAGGTTGCTGCCGGATTCGCTACGACGGCTATCACTTTGAGCATCGTGGCCGGGTGCTTTTTCATCATGAAATGAGAAAGGGCATAATCGTTCCTTTGGCAGCATTTATTCAGCACTGGGGTTCTCGTTCGAACATTTAATATGGCAACGGCATGTGATGAGGCGTTTTTGGGGGGAAAGACCAGCTTTGATAGCAGTCTGGTATGATATACTGGCATTGGTATGTGGGCGGCAACAAGTGTACAGACCTCTATCCAGAAGAGAGTTCGGGTTTACGATATACCCTACATACACATACATTTACATATACACACTCTATTTTCATGATGCCAATTTGTGCTCCGATGCTCCGTCGCCTAGACTTTCCCTCATCCTCATTTCCAGTATCGAGAGCTTGCGCAAGCGGTCATTACTTTGTCTCTCAATAGACGTGTCAGCCACAAGATGATGAAAAGGCGCTTGCAATGTATGAAAATTGAAAAGCCAATTCAGGCAAGCTTCCCACGGCAACAGTTGCTGTCATGAACCGGTTCAAATTTTACTCCCCTCATTTTTCTTTTTAGCGTTGCGGGAGGTAAAAATCTCCCAATTCGTACGGTGCAGAAGAACATCGGCGAGACCCCGGGCGCTTGCGCTTGCCGGATGAGGTGACGTTCCCACCCCCGCGGGCCCCGCATAAGGTACATACCACCCGACCCCGCGGCGCGGAAGCTGTTGGGAGGAGGAGAAGGAGGACCAATTGAGGACCTAAAGGAAGTCATTGGAGAGACGTGAAGTTTGGGTGGGACGTCATGGTTGTCCAATTGCTCGGTCCCTTGGGGCCGACTTACATATAGTAGACTCGGGTTGTTCCCCCGTTTACCTTGTGAACGAGAAGGATGTTCTCTCGCTCTCCTCATCTCCTCATCTCCCCTCAACTACTACCGTCCCCCTCATATCTAATTCCGAGGATAATCTTTGATTACTTGCCTCATTCCCAACTCCAAAAGCACCATTATAAGAGGTGACGTTGTTCAAGCTAAAGAAAGCAGTATCTTATCTGGACATCACACCACAACACATCTCACCCTTTCACCAGGCAAAACATATCCGAAGCAAACCCGCTTCAAAATGTCAGCCAAACACTTCATCAATGACCCAACCAAGTTGGTCAACCAGGCCCTCCACAGCCTAACCCTCACAAACCCAAGCCTGGCCCTCGACAAGCCCAACAAGATCATCTACCGCAGACCGACACCCGATGCCGCCAACAAAAAGACCGTCTCCGTCGTCTCGGGCGGCGGCTCGGGCCACGAGCCCTCCTTCGCAGCCATGGTCGGCCAGGGTCTCCTCTCCGCCGCCGTGGCGGGCACCATCTTCGCCAGCCCGAGCGCGGAGCAGGTCCGGACGGCCGTCGCCTCGCGCGTCGACACTAGCGCGGGCGTCCTCGTCACCGTCATGAACTACACGGGCGACGTGCTCAACTTTGGGATGGCTGTCGAAAAGGCCCGCGCTAGCGGCCTCGAGGTCGAGATGGTTGTCGTCGGCGACGACGTCGGCGTCGGGCGGGCCAAGGCGGGTAAGGTCGGACGGAGGGGCATCGCGGGCACGGTGCTCGTGCACAAGATTGCCGGCGCGCTCGCGGCGCAGGGCAGGCCGCTGGCCGAGGTCGCAAAGGTCGCGCGCCTGACGGCCGAGAACCTGGTCAGCGTCGGCGCGAGCCTGGAGCACGTTCACGTTCCCGGGCGCGCGGTGCCCAGCGGCGAGGAGGAGGGCGCGCTGCAGCTCGGTGAGGCGGAGCTGGGCATGGGAATCCACAACGAGCCGGGTTCCGGCCGGGAGAGCGCGGATCTGGAAGGGTTGGTGGGCAAGATGCTCACGCAGCTGCTGGATCAGAGCGACAAGGACAGGGCGTTTTTGAACGTCAACTCGAACGAGGTCGTGCTGTTGGTCAACAACCTCGGTGGCGTGAGCGCGCTCGAGCTCGGGGGCATCACGGCCGAGGTCGCGGCGCAGCTGGAGGGCAGCTACGGGATCCGGCCCGTAAGAATCCTGAGCGGGACGTACATGACGAGCCTCAACGGCCTGGGCTTCAGCATCTCGCTCCTCAACGTCGTCAACACGGACATTGGCGGCCCGAGCATGATCCAGCTGCTCGATTACCCGACCGAGGCCACGGGCTGGTCGTCGCCCATCCTCAAGGAGACGTGGGAGGCCAAGAACCAGGCCACGCGGGAGGAGGCGGCGGACGCCGGGCAGGCGACGAAGCCTAGCGATCTCAAGTACGATGCTGCTGCGGCCACCAAGGCTATCACGGGCGGTCTGCAGAGGGTCATTGCGGCCGAGCCCGAGGTGACTAGGTATGACACCGTCGTCGGTGACGGCGATTGCGGTATCGGTCTGAAGAGAGGAGCTGAAGGTGAGAGACAAACATGCTATCCGATCTAGATGTCACACCACACATGCACAGTCCGCTGACAAGCTTCACGCTCACTAGCAATCCTCAAGCACATCTCACAGAACCCCCTGACAGGCGACGCCGTCGTCGACCTCGCCTCCGTGGTCCCCGTCGTCGAGAACACAATGGACGGCACCTCGGGCGCCCTCTACGCAATCTTCCTCAACGCCCTCACCGCCGCCCTCCGCAGCCTGTCCCCCGGGTCCGCCGACGCGAAGACCTGGGCCGCGGCCCTGAAGCAGAGCAGCGACGCCATGTCGCGGTACACGCCCGCGCGACCCGGCGACCGGACCCTCGTCGACGCGCTGTACCCCTTTGTCGAGGTCCTCGGCGAGTCGGGCGACGTCAAGAAGGCGGCCGAGGCGGCGCGCGCGGGCGCGGAGACGACAAAGGGCATGAAGGCCAGCCTGGGGCGGACGGTGTACGTCGGCGGCTCCGGGTTCGAGCAGGTGCCCGACCCCGGCGCGTGGGGGTTGAGCTGCTTCTTTAGCGGGTTGGCGGGCCTGGAGGGTGAGGATGGGTGGGAGAAGCTGTAGAGATGGATTGCCGAGTCCGCAATTTCCAAAAGGGTTTCCTTGTGTATGGGGCAGATCGCGCCTGTTTCAGTAGTAATTTTCCTCGATGAGTGAATCGGATAATAGGGGGGTTTCGTGTGGTTGCACGAAGCTTGGAAAATCGGCAGAATGCTTAAAGAGTCAGGGAGAAAATGAAAGAACCCAATTGATCCATTTTGTCTTCAACGCCTATCTCATCCCATTTTGAAACAACAAAACCACTTTACCGTGGGTATTTATGCGAAACTTGTTTCCTTCTCAAGTTCTTGGTTCGTCCGCTGCTCTTCTCCCCCGCCTCTCTCTTAACTCATACGATATGGCACGGTGAGCATGCGCCAAGTTGTCACCAAACCAAGCGCGCCTCGTCCACGGTCCCAATTCATCTTGTTGAGGCATATTCTTCGTATGGCCGGATAGTGCAGTCCCTTTGTTCTCCCCGTTTTCTCGGTTTCAACGTTCTTGTGTATGGCCCAGATGATTATCGTAGAGGGGCCGCATAACAAGACCAACACGCTCAACTCCTTCTCATCCGCGATTGTTGGATTTCTTCAGCTCAAGAGGACCAGGATGACGCTATCACCACGGAGAAACCTGTACAGGTGTTAGCCTCCAATTATGGGGGTACTGGGCATGCGGTGGGCGTAAACTGACATCTTGCTGATGAAGCGGTCCTTGTTCACGGGACGACCCTTCTTGCCGTTGGCCAGGCGCGGCGTCTCTGTCCACATTTCCTATAGAATACCAACGTCAGCCTCGCTTTTTGTGATTTCTGGCGACGAGCGAGAGTAAGAAGTTGTCGCACCTTGACGTTCTCCAGAACCATGTTGCAGTGTCTGTCAAAGGCCTTGACGCGCGCAAGGAGCTTTCGGTTGTTTCTGATGGAGATGAGGACCTGGGTGTGGCTACGGACGGCGGTCTGGAGGATGGAAAGGGGTCCGGCGCTGAATTCGTGCTCTTCGAGCTGTGCGATTTCGTACTCGGTCAACTCGTTGCGCGACTTGGTGAGAAGCTCCCTGTTGGTTTACGTGTTAGCACAATGGATGGATATCCATACAGGGGATAAGGACAGGTACGAACTGAATCTTAGGATCGGTCGACATGATGGGCGGCAGTGTGGTGGGGATAGGCGTGGAGGGTGTTGATGTGGTGTGTGTCGCGACAACGTCTTTGAATGCTGGGCAAAGGTACACACAGCAAGGCTGAAAGAGTTTGGCAGTCTCGCGGCTCGCCGTAATGGCGCACAGATGCTCTGATTGGCCAATAGCTTCAGTGAGGTCGGCGCTGGAAAAAGTGTCCCCGTCCAAAAATTACAGGCGAAAGCTGCACTGGAAAGCTTGCAGCGATGCGCAAGGTTTAGTGGGGGTTTCCTGCCGGGCGCACCTTGGTCAGTGCGCACCTCAACTGGCAGTTGCCAATTGCCTTACCGGACAGACCCATGGTTATTCTCGGCCTCGAATTTGACGTGGAGAAGAGCTTTGGAAAACCATTCCCGCGACATCACCTACATCGAAGCTCCTTTACCACCCCCCCCTTCCTCCCTCCCCCCTCCCCCGTCCGGCCCGTCTACCACACGCCCACTATCCGTCAGTCGATGCATCGCTTGTCCTAGACGAGCGCATTGGCAGTTGGTAGCAGACAAATGTTCTCGAGAGCGATCGCACTTAGAGCCAGGCCGGCAGCGTTAGCTGTTCCTTGCCGGAGCTGCAGCAGGAGCTTCGGTATGCCTCTCAGAGCCAAGATCATCGGCGCGGAGGCCTCATCACGCGCACAAGTGAGTCATTCTATCCGTCTTGCTGTTGGTATAGTCGACGACGTTGACTAACAACCCCCTTCAACAGATGTCGACGCAGATTCCGAAAGGGTTTGAGCAGAAGGCCAAGGACGACCCTGACGATGTCATGTTCAACAGCAGTTACGGTCTGAGGACCATTGAGCTCAACCGCCCGAAGAAACTCAACTCCCTGGACGGAAGCATGATCCGAAAAATTCTGCCGAGATTGGTCGAGTGGGAAAAGTCGGACCTGGCGAACGTGGTGGTCATGAAGGGATCAGGCGAAAAGGCCTTCTGTGCCGGCGGAGACGTTGCCGCACTGGCAAAGTGGAATAAGTTTGAGGACGGATGGAAGCGGAGCGCAAAATACTTCGAGCTCGAGTACAAGCTGGACCACTACATCGCGACGTATCAGAAGCCCTATGTTGCCTTCATGGACGGTATCACCATGGGTGGCGGTGTCGGTCTGAGCATCCACGCGCCGTTCCGCGTTGCCACTGAGCGCACCATCTTCGCCATGCCCGAGACGACGATTGGTTTCTTCCCCGACGTTGGCGCCTCATTCTTCCTGCCCCGGATGGCCGGCTCCATCGGCACGTACCTCGCCCTGACGAGCGAGAGACTTCAGGGCGCCAACGTCTTCTATTCTGGTGTCGCCACCCACTACCTCCACTCGACTTCTTTGCCCCAGGTAGAGGCCCGTCTTGCCGAGATTCGATTCCGCGACCACGACTCACTGGAGAAGCGCCTCCAAATCGTCAACCAAACCCTCGAGGAGTATGCCACCGGTCTCCCCCACAACGAGCCCATCCTTCTCGGCGGCGACCTGCGCAAGGCTATCGACCGCTGCTTCAGCCAGAGCAACATCGGTGCCATCATCAAGGCTCTCAAGGCTGAGAAGGGCTCAACGAAGCAGTGGGCCGCGAAGACGATCGAGACGTTGCACAAGCGGTCGCCTACGGCCGTCAACGTTGCGCTGAGGCAAATGCGCATCGGCGGCACTTGGTCAATCGCCGAGACTTTCAAGCGCGAGCACAAGATTGCAGAGAAGTTCATGCAGCAGGGCGAGTTCACCGAGGGTGTGACTGCGTTGCTGATTGAGAAGAGAGCCCCGGCGTGGAAGCCTGCTACTTTGGAGGAGATCAAGCCTGAGATGAACGTCACGGAGCCCTTCTTCGAGTCCAGCGGAGAAGACCTTGAGCTGCTGAACGACCGGGACTACAAGGAGTACCCGTACACATACTTTGCTCTGCCGACCGAGGCCGATGTACGAAAGGTCGTGCTCGAGGGCCAGCACACGCCCGAGGAGGTCGTGAAGAAGCTCGCCGCCTCGAAGAACAACCGACAAGGTGTCGAGGCGGTAGTCAAGGAGATTGTGGACCGTAAGGTCGTCGCGAACAAGGAGGGTCGCGCGGTCTGGCCCGAGGAAAACCAATAGATGGTGTTGGGATATGTCACCGGGATAATTCCTAGGCGTGTATGATACTGTAGATGCTTTTGCCATGTATCTGAATAAATTTCACGGGTTGTATTGTGATCCGTTATTGACATTCGATGGACTGCATGGCTGTGTTCGTTGTGAAAGTGGAGATCGTGAACTGTGTTGATTAAAAGCTTCATCATATGTTCGTTGTTGAGCCTGATTGGCCCACTAAGTTTCGCATTCAGAAATGCTGGAACCTCGGTGGATTGGAACTGATACAGAAAAGTTGGGGTAGCGATGGCTTCGTGCTGATAGGCGGGCCTGGTATTGTTGCCTGCACGGCTGTGGTGGTTGCTTCGAAATTATCGGAGATAAGATGAACCAGCTATTCCGTCATACAAGTAAAGTAAGGCAAGCTTCCAGCCAGGCCTTACTTTTCATGACAAACCTCTTAACGTGAAGAGCGATGACTGTGGCGGATGGGCTTCGATGGCTTCGCTGTAATAGATTAATGGCTACTGGTTGCCGGATGAGAACGTGGAGTCACGGATGCAAACACCATGGTAGCGCTGAAAACCTCTACACTAAGAAGAGATGAGGTGGATGAGTCGGGAGTTGGAGGGGGGAATGAATGAATGATCGATCTCTCGGTTGGACGGGCAGAACTTCGACCCTGTCACCCTGGTCCGTGAGATTGATTGTACGGACAACCCAGGCGAAAGACGGGAAGAGTAGAGGAATAGAGAGAGACCTCAGGCCCAGGCTTCAAGAAGTGGGCAAGTATAAAGAGGGCCCCCGGCCCCCCTTCGCCGTCTTCGGGCAGGAGAGCAAAGAGCAGCTTGCATTTCTCCCCTACCATTTCTCATCATCTTTTGTAAGTTCCGGTGCTTGGTCCGCCCTGGTCCTGAGTCGCCGGTGTCAAGTCCCGGTTGCCAGCTCAAAGTCCGACCAAGAAGAGGCAGTAGCAACCGGCTGGTCAGCAGGAGGACGAGGCCCCACCCGCACCCGAGAACCTCAGAAAGCGAGGAAAGAGGGGACCCACTTACGGCATTCACACAGCAACCGCCTCCAGAGGCTCCAGAGGCTTCAGGGGGGGTCACATCCGAAAATCCAGCGGTAAAGGTCTCGGTCGAGCACGGACCATCACCGGAAGCCCTTTGAGGCCTTCCTCCGCTTTCCCCGGTGGGCCACTCAAGTCGCGGACGAAAGCGTGCACAGCGTGTTTTTGGCGCGTTCTGGATTCGGTGCAAAAGCTGGGTTCGCGCTAAGAAGCTAAGCGGCCCTTACCCCTGGTCCAACGTCACAGCACCCCCTGCTGGTCTAACCCGCTTTGGGCGGCCTGTATTGAGACTTCCTTCATTGCGTATCTTACCCGTTGTGTTCTTTTACTACCTTACACGCGACAGACTTCACGTCTTTCTTCCCTCATCGTACTGTCCGTCCCAGGTTACAGTTCTTTTTTTACAAGCAAACGCTCGAGCCTTTCCATTGAGCTGTCCAGCATTGAATTTGAGAAGCGTCTTTACTTTTTCAACTCTGCACCAAAACAGCGAGGCGTGCGTTTGTCTCAGAGCTGCTCTCTAGTCGCGCATGGGCTTTAAGTGGTTTGATCCACTTCCCAAAAACGCGACTTACACCAAAGCCGGGCCCAGGACGCGACTTCCTTCACGACCACGGCCATGATACCCGCCCCGCGCTTTACGTGACGCCTGCACTTTACCACTTTAACCACTACAAACACCAATTCGTAACCCACTCTCAACTCTCAATCCCTCCACTTTGTTTTCTTTTTTTCCCACCCTTGGTCACCGCCCAACAACTACTGCCGGCACCACTCGACTCTGTCGGCAATACCTCTCTACCTATTCGTCTTTTCATATTCGCCCGTCACCTCACTTTCGAACTGGACGAACACTCGAGTCGGTGACAGCCTCGCCTACGATGGCGTCGCCAATGCCATCAGCACCTGTGGGTAACTGGGGAGGTAACGGCCAAGCGATGCCACCACAGCCTCCTTCTGGCCCGGCAGATATGGATGATGCGGGTGTACAGATTCGAACCATGGGCCGTGAGTGCTTCCCATTGTGTTTCTGCTCTGGCAACCGCCGGATATACTGACTGGGAGATGAAGTCAAGGTCATTTACGCGTTCGCCGACAGCGGCGAGAGCTTCCTGGCGCGACACTCAGAACTACTCACCGTCCAGACAGTACCAATCGACGAGAAGACCACAGTCGGCATGGTAGACTTGAAGTTGTGTGCCCAGGCCGTTGTTAAGTGCAGCCCTGAGCTGCTGAGCGACGCCACCCGCGACTTTGCCGTCTACGCATACGACTATTCAGAACCCGATGAGCCATTGGTCGGACAGGGCTTCCTAGGATGGATCATGAACAACACAGATGGCAAGAGGATCATTGGTCGCACCACCAGGAATCCCCTCTCGGTCTTTAGCGGTGGCGTCAAGGAGATCTTGGAGATCAAACTGAAGCTGAAGCCAGTAGCCGCCATGACACAACCGAGATACGAAGTCGAACCTAGACCAGACGCTCGACACTCATATCAGCGCTCTGAAAGCCACATGAGCGTCGAGATACAACCCACGATACACAACGATGGTGCACTCACGCCCAATAGCCATGCCGAGTGGGCCAGCTTCATGCAGTCGAATCAGCAGATGGGCAACCAGCAACATCCCCAAAATGTTGCATCCCCTCACCACCTACCCCAGCACCACAACGAATTCCAACACCAACCACAACCACCACCCCAGCAACGACAACAAATGCAACGAAGCAATTCTTTTGCTTACAATGGGCCCCCGCAACAGCAAATGCAAAATTCACAACTTCAACAGACCATACCCCAACCGCCTATGCAAAATTCTGAAGGGCCTAATCGGGTGGCCCCTACCCTTGTTGACACAGCAACCGAGACTCAAGTGAACCCACCATCGAGACCATCGTCCAGGGCTTCAAACACATCAAAGAAATCAAGATCTACCGGACGACCGCGTGGTCGCCCCCGGAAGCAGCCGAGGGCTGAGACTCAAGGTAACACGTCGGGCTATGAGGATGGAACCGATGGCGACGATGGTCCAGCCAAGAAGAAGAGGGCAACCATGACCCAGGTCACAGGCAACATCAATGCCCCCTTCGGTGGCGGCTCTGGCCCTCTCCGCGTCACAGCAAGCACGGCTGGCTCCTTGCGAACCTTGCGACCGGCCGGGATTTCTCAAGACCCTTCTATGGGCTCTCACATGCAGGATGTGCCTAGAGCCCCAACACCCGTCCCCGACAGAGGTCCCTCAATGCCACAGGGTGGCAAGGCCACGAAAGGTAGCAAGTTGCGTCGGCAGTCGACATTGAGCCAGGCCGCCACGCCTCCTAGCCAACCCCAGTTTTCCGAACCGCCCTTTGCCATGTCTCCGAGTCAACAAGATGGCCGTTCCCCGGACTCAGAGGCCGTGTCTCCCAACTTTTCCGAGGATAGCCCTGCAGCCATTGGATCTTCACCGCCTGTCCCTCGTACCACCAGCTTTGTGCGGTCAAGTCCGCCGGCGTCCAGCCCGATACTCCCCCCTATGCGAATGCCGATGCCAATGCCACAGCATGATTCTGGCTTTATGAGCGGCGGCGTTGACGACCTTTTCGATGGCGACATTATGAAGCCACTTCCGAAACCCGTTGCTACTGCACCGAAACAATCCAAAGGGCGGAAAACGAATCGCAACGAGACCAAGGAACAAATAGATGAATCCGGTATCCCCATCCAAGTCTTTCAGTTGGCGGAGCATGTACCCAGCGAAATAGATACTGCTCCGAAGATCCGGAAGCAACTCCCTCCCAAAGCACCCACTTCGACGCCGTCGACAGAGCCATCACTGCCACCTCTACAGCACGCCGTCAGCGAGTCCAACATGACAGTGCCTCCGCAGCCTGCGGGAAAAGAGCCCTCACCACAACAAGAGGAGCCGGTTGTGGTGATAAAGCCTGATGTCGACATGGACAGTCAAAGTGCTCCCAGTTTCGAGGCCCCTCGGTCTGAAGATAGCCTCGACATGAGACTCGAGCAACTTGTACAAGCTGTGCAGGATAAAGCACCCGAAGTGTTGCCAGAGCCTTCGACATTGGCTCCTATCGCGGCCGACGTCTTCGCTCTTCCTTCCGCACCACCATCTCTTTCTCGGTCTACTTCAGAATTTTCGCAGGCACTTCCAATGGTCCCGGCCAGCGACCCGATCGGCCCTATCGCATTCCCAGCTCTCCCACTTCCAGATATAACCTCTTTCTCCGAAGCGCCTTGCCCGCCAAGCGACGCGTTCCAACCCCCGAGATCACCAACCCAGGCTCAGAAGGCAAACAAGAACTATGTCAAGAAGAAGGCCATCAGAGAAAAGCTATTGCAGGCCATCGAGAGTGGGCAAACCCCTATGTACTGCAACAATTGTGGTGCTATTGAGACTCCCACGTGGCGCAAGATTTGGTCTCAGGAGCATGAGGGTGTCCCCGAATTCACCGAGTTTTCAGATAAGCCTGGCAGAATCACTGCCATCCTGGTCTTGGAGCGAGATGATGAAGATAAGGTTACCAAATACCAGGTCATCAAGAAAGGCCTGGCACCTCATGAGGACAAGTCAGAATGGAAATGGCATATGCTCTGCAATCCCTGCGGTATTTGGTTGTGTAAATGGAAGGCACATCGGCCATCGGAAAAATGGGAGAAGGACAGATCTCGCCTCAGTCAACAAAGACGGCCTCGGGGTACTGGGCGAGCTCCTAGACCGCCCAGGACGAAGAAGTCTGATTCGGCAAACCCGCTCAATCCGACGTCTGAAGCTTACTTCACTACGGACCCCATCGGGCCCGAGGATCGAGGCATCTCACCCATGGATGAAAGCAGATCTCGTGGCATCTCACAGGTCAGCAATGCCAACGAAGCTTCACAGCGTTCAGTCTCTCAGCTATCGATGTCTCAACCGCCTGACTATCAGGGCTCACGGCCAGCGTCGCCCGGGCATGCCTCCAACCCAGGATCTACCCACTCTCGAGGAAGCGGTACCGCCAAGAGCCCAATCACCCTTGACAACACCGACGTGGTGCAAGATATGGGTGGTACCCGACGGCTCCTATTTCCTTCACCTCGAAAGGAAGGCGTTGCTAAGGTCCTAGGTGAGGTTGCCGTCAACGTGGTACAGACTGCGCCGGAACTCAACGTCTCAGCGGAAGCTGCACAAAACAAGGAGTCCACCGACAAGTCTAGCAAGGATGAGGCGCAGAAGGACACCGGGTCGAATAAGGAGAACCTGGCTATTCCTGATGATGACCTGGAAGATCTGTTTCGGAGCCCCATCGCTCGCCCATCCACGCCGCCCCCTCGGGAAAGGCCTGCTAACAGCGGCCCCTTCAAGACTCCCACTCGGCCGACACCCAGCCACCGTCCCATCACTAGAAGCGTCACTAGGAGTGTCTCACGATCGTTGAGGTCCGGCGATATGCTCCGATCCCCCATGGCTATGCGCCGCACGCCTATGCGGACTCCGCGGTCGGCTAGAGGCCAAATCCGGAGAAGCCCTCGCCTACATCATGAAGAGTTCTCTCAGATGGAGATGGCCTTGGAGGAGTACCTCTCAAGCCAACCGGTCGACCACCAGTATGACTCTGATATGCTGGAGGCTATGAACCGAGCATTGGCGGAGTCTATGAATGCTCCTGGTTCCAGTTTTGATATCACCAGTATGATGATGGATTCAGACTGTCAACTCGAATTCGGTGATCTGTTGGATTCGCCATCCAAGCCGACGCCGCGACCGGCTCGGCAAACGAATGATTACGAGGATTGGGAGACGTGGGAGAAGAACATGCGTGAGCGCCAGGCGGCAGATGATGCCGCACGCGACTAGATACCCGGTGGGAGGATAGAATGGTCATGATGTTTACTACGAGGGATTGCAGTGGAAATTTTCACGAAAGCGCGGGACATGGATCCACGCAATACGCGCAGCGTCGCCACGTGTCGTATGATATTTATTGGTTCTGAGGGAGTGGCATTATAACAGCGCGCCTGCGGGCATGAGATATATGGGAGAAGGCGTTTCGGGGCATCATAAAGAGGATGCCTGGTGGACTTAGAGTTCCAAACACCGGCCTTGGTGCCATGGTGATGAGTCACACGTTGCCTCTGCTACCTTACTGCATTGATTCAATAGTTTAAGATGAGGCCATTGGCCTTGTCACAGCAATACATTTGTTAATGACATATTTACGTCTCATTCGTGACAACCCCATGTTACATTCTTACCTCATAGTAGCTTACACCGTTCTGTTATTACATATGACATGCACAGCTTCATTCTATTTTTCATAATCAACCGAAGGATGAATAACACCAGTCGTCGGTAGATAGACTTCCGTCAGTACTGGCGGGGAGCGAGGCGCAGATTACCAACATAAACTTCAATTACTGCAGTTCTTCTAAGCCCGGGTGGGGGCTTGTATATTGAAAATTGCAAGTCCACATAAATACCAGTAGTATCATCTAACGACGTACGGTAGTACTGCATGCACGCCCGAAATCTCTGGGGTTAATGTACCAAGTCGAGGTGATGGCTGCCTACTTTGTCTCTTGGCGGTATCTCAAGATCCAAAGTTCCTCGTGTAGCCTACCTCGCCTGTCGAAACAGCTGTAAAAAAAGGGTAAGCGCAGAGGTGTGTCTCAGAAGTGCTAGTTCAAGCGCTCCTGTCTAGAGTCGTATCGAGAATCCCACTGAGAATCGCGTTGAGAGTCGTCAGAAGCAGCCATATCAAGTTAAACACTAAGTCATATCTCGAAATATCAGCAGAATCGATTCTATTGGTAGTCGCTTGGACTCGAGAATGGAGTCGATGTTGAAAATTCGCCCATTAGGAGTTGAGTGATGACAAGCAAGAGTTATCAATGAAGTCTTGTTTCTTTTTTGTTTGCCTCCCTTTTACACACACACACACACACACACACACACACACACACACATACACATTTACCACAGCCCGTCACTCTCGTCATTCATGGGTGACCTCTTTGCTACTTCCAGGAAGAAATAAATGCCCGATGTAGCATCGAAACTTGAAATGTCAATGAAGAAGAAGCAGAAATAAGTCATCGCAACCAAAAGGAGCATATAAAACTATACTCCAGACTCATAGCAGCTGATGAGGAGCATCTAAGATATTCATGCTTGATGCAAGTCTCAACTACTGGAACCAACCCAAACCCGAGCACACCTAGTTGTTGAAAAAAGCCGACCGCTCGACGTGCTCTTTGGACCTGAGAGAAACAATACCCTCTCGCAGTTTGAGTTAAAGGACATATTTCCTCTCTTTTGACGCCACTCTTTACACCATGGTAACGAACAATTCCTTTGCTACTTTGCTACCTTTAGAAAAAAACGAATACTTGATGTACTTCTTTAATCAGTGGAAGTAGTAAATTCCTTCATGATCAAAACTTTTGTTCGACTGTTGTTCTCATGGTTAATATCAAGTGCATCTTCGCTCTCGTAAACCATTGCTCTTCACGCTCATATTTATAAACAATCACTTTACTTTCATGGACCGCTACTCCTCACGCACGTATTCGTGGAGAATTACCTCGCTCTTTTGAACAACTGCTCCTCGCGCTCTTATCCGTGAACGACTTGTTCAACGCCCCCGAGAAGATATGAATGTCCGACGTGATAACCAGAGAGATAAAGTCTTGTCCTGCCCAGATCTGATGTTGGGAAGCAGCTCCCCAAGCGCCAAAGGAGCGGAGAATCTACGATGCGGCCCTCGCTAATGCGCCCGGATCCCGGCACTGCAATGCTAAGGCTGGTCCTACAAAGCCGAATATCGAGATATAGTTCCCTCAGCCCCCGAAAGATCGGACAGAGTTACGTCCACCCTGGTGCCTTCGTCCTCGAGTGTTAGTATCTCTACTGGATGACAACGACTGGCTCATGTTTGCTGGTGTAACGTCAATCATCTTCGAAATATACATCGATTCAGGAGAAGCACACGATCTTCAGCCCAACCTTTCGTCTGAATATAAAGGTAGCGAACGGTTAGGGACGCAGAGCGAGGATAATGGTGAGGAGGCCGAGGATCCGGAGTTGACAGTAGGTGATCTATAACAACCGCGCAGCCATGAGACTGCACCCATCTACGGTCAGGTGATAGGACATAAAGTACACGTATTCTACACATTTTAACAACACCGCACTTGCTTCCCCGGTTTCGCTTCCAGCTTCTTCCGCTGCGTTACATCCCGGCTCAGTGGTGGTTCGGCCGCCCGAGTAACCGTCTCCGTCCTCTCTGCTCTTATAAACACGCACGACGCTGACTCCTCTACTTCCTCCTGACCAAGCCCTTGGCGTTGGAGTACCCCTTGATGCGCTTGGTGTACTTCCACAGATGCTTGTACTTGGCGGTCTGGCGCTTGGCTTCCCAACCGCGGGCCTTCTTGGGCTCCTTGAGCGAGAAGACGCGCTTCGGGCGGAACTCAATGTCGGCACCCGGCACACCGGCGCGCTCCATCACACCAGCCGTGTTCTCGTCCCAGATGGTGCGGAAGATGTTGAAGCCGACGGGCTTGAGGTTGAACTTGTCGCGGTACGACTTGAGGGAGAAGCCGTCGCGGGCCTGGTAGAGCTTCTTGAGCTGGGCGGTGTCGAGCTTCTGGTCACCCTGCTCGAGGATAAAGATGGAGAGGCGGTGGTAGGGGGAGCCCTTTTGCGCGAAAGCGGGCAGGTAGGGAACGGCGAGCTGGGCCTCGTCGCGGATCTTGGAGAGCGGAATGGACGTCGCTGTCGGCGAGACGGGGATGTTGGCGGCGAGGTAGTGGCAGCGCTTGGTGAAGCCGTCGGTCTCGACGGAGGGTATGTCCGAGTCCATGATGACGATGGAGACGAGACGCTCGCCTGCCGTGAAGGGGGTGATGCGCAGACGCGGGGGCACCTCGGAGATGTTGCTGGGGAGGATCTTGCCAGGGGGGACCTTGGAGCGGCGGAAGAAGAGCTGAACGTCGTAGGTCGGCTTGATCTTGGGGAGAATATCGGGGATGATGTTGAGCTGTTGGATACGCTGCTCAATCATCTTAGCCTCGTAGGATTGCCACTTGCGCTCGGCAAGGAAGCGGTAAATGGGTTTGCTCATGTCACCTATTCCAGAAGGCGCATTAGCACTCAATGCGCGTCTCAAGCATAGAAATGGACGTCATGTATCCTTACCGAGCCCATCCTCGAACCGCCTCTTGACAGCGGGATCGTTGATATCCGCCAGAATCTTCAATCTCTCGACCTGCTTTCGCAGACTGGACAGCCTCATCTGACGCATCCTCTCTCCTCCCCTAACCTGATCACCACTCAAGCCCTCCAACAGCTTGATCGCCTCCGTCTCCTTCACGATAGCACGGAGCTTCTCCTCGCGATCGGCGGCGAGGATCTTGCGCGCCTCCTGGAATGCCTGGTAGGGCAGCTGCTCAAAGGGGATGTTTGAACTCGTGCGGATGGCATAACGGCGACGTCTCGAACCAACGGGCGGTGTGCCTGCCTTCCACAGATCCTTCTCGGCCCACGGCGCGACGGCCGTGTTGGGGTCCAGCTCGACGGGGTCGACAGTCTCGGGGCGCTCGCGCGACACCTTGTACACTTCGGCGGCAGGGGCGGGCGTCGTTGAAAGACTTCTCCGTATCGGCAGGGGCGTGGCGACTCTGTTCAGGCATCGGTGAAGCGGCCGGATGGCCTGCCTACACGACGATGACATCTTGGGCTGTGAAAAGAGAGGGGGGCGTGGTGGGTTCGGTAGGTGGTCGTCTGATTCCCGACCAGAGCTTCTGAAGGAGGTTTTTCAACAGAGCTTCACGAGTCTGCTCTGCGGGTCCCCATAATTATTTTTCCAATTGAACGGCGGAATATCCCGCCCCGGACAGGGGACTGGAGCTCCCACTGACAAGCCACACAGCGTGCACGCTGCCGGTACGTACCGGCAATTGACGCTGTCTGATTGGTAGCTTCCTTCGACAGGACGGGCCAAATTTTCGTGTTTCCTGCGCAAAGGGTTGCAGCTCCCGATATTCTAACGCATCGAAGGAGCAGCCCATCGAACATCGCGAACTCCCCTTGCGACGACCGTATACACAATGGCCGGCAAAGGAGTCAGGAGCCTCGGAGAGGCCATGAGGGGGCTTTCCCTCTCATCGACGTGCAGGAACGCGAGCCCTGCTACCTCCTTCATCGGCTCATCCAGCTTTACGAGATCAATGGCCACCGAGGCGCCATTCCCCGGCATCACAACCTCCGTCTACAGCACATCTAAGCAGGCGGAGTGGACACCAAGTACGTTCTACGGAAACATACTCCATTCTTCAAAAGATGCAAGCCCTAACACCCCTTCTTAGCCACATCCGTCCCCGTCACAGTTCACGCCTTCCCGACGCTCGAACCCCAATCCCTCGAGTCCTACTCGACGAAGCACCTCTACCTCCCCCTCCGCCGCGACCTCCTCCATCTCGCTGTCGTCTACGAGGGCGATTCTACCCGCCAGGGTACGGCCAGCACTAAGACCAGATGGGAGGTTCGCGGCTCGCACAGAAAGCTACACCCGCAAAAGGGAACCGGCCGCGCCCGCGCCGGCACGAAGCAGTCGCCCATCCGCCGCGGCGGAGGTGTCTCCCACGGCCCCAAGCCGCGCGACTTCAGCACCTCACTCAACCGTAAGGTCTACGACGTCGCCTGGCGCACCGCCCTCAGCTACCGCTACCGCCGCGGCCAGCTCATCGTCTGCGAGGACGGCATGGAGCTGCCCCTGCCCCAAGACTTCCTCGCCCTGACCGACGGAGGCTTCGTGGGACCCAAGATTGCGGAGGAGTACCGCCGCAAGTGGATGATGCAGGTTCTCGAGGCCAACCAGTGGGGCAAGGCTCACGGCCGGACGCTGTTCATCACCAACGGGGACAGGCCGAGGCTGGAGGAGACAATGGAGACCGTGGGAGACCAGGGCAGGTGCCTCGGTGTTCACGATGTGGATGTCAAGGATCTGTTGGAGGAGGGACGCGTGGTTGTTGAGCGCGCGGCGCTCAACGAGATGATCGAGTCGCACCAGAGTGACTTGATCAGCAAGATCTTCATTGGTGGTGCTTTGAAGCGCGGCCCGGCCATCGGTGGTTCGATCATTTCATAAAGTATCGAATGTGCTTCGAAAAGGGGGAAAGGGGAAGAACAAGAAGAAGAGAAATCTGTCGATATATGTAACACCAATCAACGAGGAGATCTTCAGGTTAGAAGGCGCCTCTCCGGCTTGTAGCAATAGAAGGCACAAATTGCCGTTCACTCTGTAACCTATTCTAAGGGAAAGATGCATTTGCGGATCTGTGTGGTAAAATCGAGTCATCGAATGAACACGAACGAGTGTGTTATTCCAGATATCAACTATTATTTCCAATAGCGAATAAATGCTTGCGACAGAAAAAGACTCTGATCTGTTGATCCAAAAAGGGGCCACATGTCTAGACTTTGGAAGTTGATAGGAACTTGCGCATATGCTCAGTTGCAATGAATCGAATTGATGCTACCTCAACGAGGGGCTACCTGAGCACCTTACGCTGTCACATACCTGGCTAAGTTGCATAAAAGTATCAACACCAAAGTTGCGACTTGTATGTTACCCTTTTCCCCTTCCAGAAAAGGCGATATGGACTAAGGTGGTCTGCAGAATGCATAAATTCAACAATTCGTGTGTGTTTGCGTATGCTGAAACCAAAAATGGCAATTGCTGAATATGGCTTTTTTTTTCTCTCTGGCGACTATGGGGCTGTTGACGTCCGACTTGCCTCTATTCGGAAACCTGACACGCCATATTGCGTCGTAAGAACCTGGCAAGAACCCGGGGTCTTACTGTGTCGCCCCCGACTTGAGTCGAACGGAAACCCACACGCGCATATGCACGCTCAGTCAGCCGAAGAAAAGACGAGACAGAACAGAGATACCCAATACGGGTGGAAAAAAACGACGTGAAATCAAACCTCGTGATTCCAGTACTCCGTCCAGTATCGCAGTCCAGTCCGCATCTCAAAGGACCTACTTCAAAGCAAGCTACTTTTGAAGAGCAAAAGTATTAGTGTCAGTGAGTTAGGCCACCGGGGAACGCTCCGGGTATTTCCCAGCCCCATATATCTCCCATCGGGTAAAGTGGAGCGGGTTGCAACCAACCCGGCCCGAAAAAAATCGAAAACAAAGAGGGCGTTTGCAGGTTTCCCGCGCCGCCGCCGCGCTGCACCACGGCGGAGCGAGACGTACCTATCGGGGTCCATGCGCCCCAGCCCTACGTCATCACAAGCAGGGGCATTTCCGTCCTTGGCCTCACCCACTCTCCCGTCAGTCGTCAGCGAACATCCACCACCACCCACCCGCCTTGCCTCAATTTAGAGTTTCCGCTGTCCAAGGCAAACTACCTTGCCAGAAGCCCGCGGGCACCACCCCTGCTCTGCGTCGTGTTATACATCATACGGTAGATTAAGGTACGGATAACTATTTTGCCTCATGTTTTGACGACCTTCGGTATTGTATCCGTCTTTTAGATGCCAAATTTGAGGGGTGTAGAGTAAGTCTGGATGTAGTCAGATGTAAGGCACGGCCTTCGAGATTGGAGTAAGAACAAACTGCGTCAATATGTAGCACCTTCAAGTTGAGTAAGTCTCGAGAGACCAACATGCAAAAAATGTCATCCTCCTTCTCCTCCTTCCTCCTCGAAGAATGGAGCCCTGCAAGGCTGGACCAGATCCCTGCTTTCCCGCCTTGATGCCTGCAGGAGGGAGTGGAAGCAACAACTGAAGCACCGTCGTACAATACGATAGAGTATTCTAACCTGTGTTTGCTGGGTTAAAACACCCATGGATACTCCCTCTTGTCTACCCGTACTCGGCGACGGTCGCCGAAACTCGCCGCACGCGACCTGACAGGACTCAGGTTCCTCTATATACATGAATTATAGCGAGAAAACAGCGGGTCGTTGAAAGAAGCGTTTTGAACGTTGTCTCCTGTGTAATGCTAATTAGTGTAGTACCTATTCGGCGTGGCGGGCCGTCCAAGGGATGGTTGGGCTGGATTTTGGGGCCGCTGCCGGGTACACCTGCCCGTCGTCCTAGCTCCCCGTACCCATCATCCCGTATTTGGACATTTGGGGGCTACCAGTGACGTAGATATGTGGTAGTTCAGACTTCAGCCCAACGAGAAGGAGAGAGGTCCTTGTATGACCATTGCATAGGTACCTTAGACTAAAGAATGCTATCCTACTTGACTTAATCGTCACTCTTATTCCCTCTCTTCATCAACGTCTACTCACCTCTCATGCGATGCCATGAGCGACATCCCCTCCCTCCTGGAAGCAAGTGAAACCCCCCCGGAAGACGACTAGACAAGGTCCCCCTTCGACCTCCCCCACTTCGCTTCTCGAGGCCACTGCTGTGGTATTGTATAGTTGTCGTTGCGAATGGGGAACCCAGGGAATCGACTCCAAGGGGGCCCGTACTGACGTAGTGCAGGTCAAGCTAAGGTACATCCTGTAGCTACCTAAACCTGACGTAGGATCCCGGAGCAAGCTCCTCCTCCTCCTCCTTCTCCTCCATGCCAATTTCTTCTAGTTGATAACCGACTTGCCCTCACAGCATATCGACCTGATCTTTTCCTGCTCCTCTTTCCTCCCCTTTCCGCTTCTCTCTTTGCATGGCGATGTGCCCGTACTTTGGTACTGTCGCTGAAGCTGCCTGCCAGCCTGAACACACTTCCAAGTAACACCAGGTACACCCCCAAGCTTCTCAGGCAAGCTTCCCAATTCTCCTCCGACGGCGCCAAGATCTACGGGAGAAGGGCTTTGATACATACTACCACTTGGTACCAGCGCGTCAGTCTCCATGGCAAGGTCTTTGGGAGCCTCGATCTTGTTCAACCGCCTACTCACGCTATTGTTCCCGTCTCACACCCCGCTCCTTCGATACATCGACTGCTCTCGACTGCGCATATGCCTCAGTGGCTTCAAACCCGATCTTCAGTCCGTCTGTTACCTATCCCCCTCTATCCTCGAACCTTTTGCCTCCATCCAATCCCTCGTGAAACCGACCGGCTCCCCAAGGCTTCGCCTCGTCCTCAACCTTCAACTCGACTCTCTTAACACCACACGCGCCAACAGCCGACAAGGACATTCATAGTGACCCATATTCCACCAACAAGGATATCACATCATGCTCTTGGCAAGAACTTGCTCAAGCTCATTAGAGCCGACGACCCCTGACACCGATTACCCCCCTCCCCGGAAGCGAAGTCGAAAGCTCAACTCATCCCACCCCAGCACCACTACGACCGACGTCGAGAACTCATCGAATACGAGAATACGAAACCCGACGTTCCCTGCTGCCAACGATCGTTGAACACCTCTCATATTTTGCTCGACCTGGGGAGGATGAAAGTGGGGAAGTGTTTAGAGGAGATCGACTCCATCGCCAAACTTGCCTTTCATCGACACCCACGCAGACGATTCGATGAAGTGTATTGGAGAGAGAAAAGATGTCGAGAAAAAACATGAAGGAACGGCCGCATACTCAACGTCTCGACCGTCCAAGATACGGCAAACGACAAACTCGTCACCGCCGATGACAGCGTTCTAGCTCGCTTGTTTGGACCCGCCATAACAACACTCTGCGAGCAAGCTTCTCACGGGTAAGCTACAGATGGTCGGCTGGCTCTGCCGTAGGGCTCGAACCAATGTTCCGGCCGTTTGGATATCGTCTCCATGTACCTATCCACGTCGTACTACCACTTGGGAGAACGGTGTCCCAAAGGGCTCCAGGGGTCAGCATCTTGCCCCATCAAACATCCTGTCTGAACAGGGCCTTACACCTCTCGCGTAAGATCATAGCATTTGCCCAGTGGCTTTGCGCCGAATTTTCTTTGTTCATATCGTTATCTTGTGTCTATCCGAATCCCCTATTGCTAGTTTGGTTTGTGGGATTCTTCACCTCAAAAGATGTACAGCCCAACTTTCCCCCCGGGTATCAGGTCGTTTCCCCAGCTCTGGTCCGGTAGCTGGCGGCTCAACTCCTCCGTCTGGTCCCTTGTTGTAATTATCCTCCCAAGTCATTGATCATAGCATTGCTATGTCCTCGAATCCATCCGAACTCCTATTCTGGAAGCCCCACTACAGATAGTGAGAGCTTCTTAATCATGCTGTGCCCAGAAAAGCTCAGCTTCTCAAGTTTTAGCGCCTTGCTATCCATTCCACATCGTCGCCAGCCACAGCGCTCTATGCGTGGTCGAAAGCACTGTCGGGCATATGGTCGTAGTTGATATCGGCATCACTTCCAGATCTCGATGACAGGCTCGTCATAGCACGCTCTGAGCGGGCAGGCGATATCAGAGACATTTGACCTGGCATCAATCAACACCTCCAATGCTGTGTCGTGGGACAAGGGGTTTTTCTTACTGTCAATTGACGGTCTATAACCTCCCCCAGTGCCGAGTGGCCTGTTGCCAGCCATGCGGCTGGCATCAAGACTTTGCTTTTTTACACGCTCTGCGCTCACCTGAACGAATCGCCGGGCTTCGTTGTCGAGCCATAGGTTGATGTTCGGATCATTGCAATTTGCGTGCGACATGAGCTCGTTCTTCATTCTCGTAACTTCATCAACCAGTCCATTGTATTCCATCTGCAGCTGTGCATGCTGGTTCTCCAGTCCCTGTTTGGTTTCCTGAAGGTCTGAGACCCACTCCTTCTTCTTTTGGCGACATTTGCTCGCAGCGACGCGGTTCCGTTCGAGGAACTTGTCTCTTTTCGGGTCTTGGTCGTTCTGCTCCGGAGCTTTGCCTTTCCTTCCCTTCTTCCTGGGCGGGCTGGCATCATAAGGGTCCGCTGCTCGACTCGGTTTTGACGGTCGAGGCTGCGTCGAGATATTGGCGTCGACCCGCGCACCCGATTGAAATGTTGAAGCCGGAGGTATGTTGAGTATTGTCGGCCTATCTTCGACGTCTTCTTGCTTCGTGTTGTACTGTGCTTGGCCATGATGGCCGTAGAATGAGGGCATGCCAGTCACCAGTGGATCCCAGGCACCCGGAACAGCCATATATACGGAAGGGTGGTGTGCCATGTTCTCCGATGTGTCACTGTCTTCCGGTCGGACTAAATCGAGCGAATCTAGAGGTAGTGTTCGTGGTTGATCGCTGGGGAAGTCATTGTTAGTCGGTGTTGCAATATCAACCGCATCATTGAAGAAGCTCGGAGGGGTATTCATCGTCCAGGTTAAGGACCTCGCCAGGTCTGGCGAAGGTGTCGAGCTCAAATTCTGCTGAAAAACGGTGTTCCGGTGGTGGGGAAGCGTTATCTGGTCCAAAGTAGGACAATGAACGTTTTATCGTGCGCTGCTGACCTACCCAATGCGTAAAGACTACCAAGTGGTTTGCGTGTGACACTGGCTCTGGGCCTGCTGACTGGATCGAGAGACAGTACCCAAGGGACCGATAACGACGCCGGGCAGTACGAGAGGGTAAAACAAGGCAAAAGCGAAGATCGCGGGCAAGAAGGTGGAAAAGCGAGAAAACACACGATGAAGAGTTTCGCCAAAAACGCGGACTGATCTCGACGCCTGCGTGTACTTGGCGATAGACAAGACCCGAAATTGGCTGGGGGGCGCGGTGTCAACGAGGACGTGTGGTGGCTTCGGGTACGAGAAGGTGCTGCTTTATTCAAAAAGCGAAGCTGATCCTCGTCGAGATCGAAAACGTAGGAGGGCACGCTATAATGCCTAATGGTCAGTGTCTGCGTTTGGCAATATCAAAGAAGGTGTACACAGGATTAAGAAGAGGTAGTATGAGGGAACGATGGATTAGGATTGCGACAGGTCAATGATGCGGATGGAAGTGGGTGACTCGGTGGAGCCGGGAGACAGGCATCATCAAGAGTAATTGAGAATACCTTGATATTGTGTAGAAACGGAGGGGTCGCTTGTAAACGGGGCACCGTATTCGCACTCTCCCACACGCAGAAAGGCAATACCACACGCTGGCCCGAAAAGGGTTCTGGGATGGAGCGACAGGGCGAGGAGACGTACGTTACATAGAAGGGTAAGGTCGGCGCAAACGGTAAGGACGGGAGGGGCTGGTGAAAGGGATGTTGCGATATATCGCTGAGGACGGGAGTCTGAAGGTACTGCGGGGTTCTCAATGAAGGTTTGAAATCTGCGTACCACGGATGATTGGGGCAGCTGATCGCGCGTCAGTGAGAAAAGTCACTGTCGAGGATCTGGAGAGCTGCCGATCCGGACAATATGAGAGCAATACGGTCGAAGCAGGCCGGCGACCGGGCGTTTGTTGACGGGAAACGGTAGGCAGAGATCAGCGGAGCGCCGTTCCAACGAGCCGAAAGACTGCTAACGAGCCGGAGCGTACGGAAGCTCTCGTGGTTCGAGGAAGAAGCGGAAAATGATGCACCCAGCTAGACAGAATATCGATCAGTCGTAAAACTGAGCTTCGAGTATTGCTTTGTCGATGTCGGCGAAGAAGGCCAATGTCATGACAGTCAGCCTATTGTCGTTGTGCCGGTTGCAGCGTGGTGAGAGCGCGGCAACGTCTTGTCATCAGCCAGACAAGGATGCTCAGGTGGTGGTGGTGTGGGCACTGGGCTGGTAATGCTTGCAGTTTGATGGGGCCGTCGCAGTCGCGGTCACACAAGGAAGATGTCGGCGGGAGGGCAGGGATGGGTCGGAGGTTGCCAAGCAAAAGACGACGGAAGCAGAGCCGGACGAGATCTCCCAGGTTGTTGGAGAGAAGAGAGGGATGGTGATGCTCGGAGCCGTGTTGAGGATCGAGGCCAAATTGGCTGAGGCGAATGGCAGCGGAGTAGGCTCCGGCAATCGATCAGAATGATGCTCAGAGCTAGCAAGCTGTGACAGAGAGAAGCAGAGGTGGAATCCAGATGGAGCGGAATTGACAATGGATGTGGGATCAAAGAGGCTCGGTGTGGGCAGGTAGGAGCTTTTCTCAGGAACAGACAGTGTGCAGGTTGGGAAGAGGGGGGATGAGAGACGGGGATGGGAAGTCGTCGTCGGTAGAAGGCGATGAAGGGAAATGGGGGGTGGGAATTTCAATGGCATGAGGTACGGAGTACCGCATACCATACATGAGATGGGCAGTCGGGAAGGACGGGAGCTTCGACAATTGCATTGCCTCGAACACCACATTTCTACTTTCCTCAACAGCATTTTCCCTAACAATTGCCTTTAGCTCAGGCTCCAATTACCTCACGCTACCTTGCTTCCAGTTAGCTCGAAGAGGGTAAGGCAGGTAGGTATCCGTAGAACATTCAGAACTGAGAAAAGCAGTTAGGCGAGATGGTGCATCTACCTCAGCTTAGCTAGACTGAAGTGTTGCTCCCTCGGCAGAAGCAATCACATTGGATCAGGTCAAACCAAAAAGCTAACACACAGGCACCTTATCTGTCAGACACGGGCAGACACCCAGTCGATGGTAGATGTACACACGCAGCGCCAATATCAGCACCGGTTCCAGACTTCCAGCACCACCATTGCGACCATTTGAATCTGTAGCTGGGCAACTTCACTCGTTAACCTCCCTTGCTTTGGGTACGTACGATGCACCATACACTACATGAATTCACCTCAGCTTACCTTGGCTGCGCGACACAAAATGGCGGGGTAAGTAAGGTACCTAGACAGTATAGCTTCTACGCTAAGCACCTTTTGCCTCTCAGACAGTGCCATAGCTGTGCAGTGTAGCAGAGCTGGATGTTAATAATTATCGCAGATAAGTACTGCTGGACAAGCTAAGGCAACCAGACCTCCCGAGTCCCCGTCTAAGCTTCATCCAACACTTCGTCTTCAGACACAGACACCCACCCACCCGATCCGACCCCTCTGCTGTGCAAGGTCATGTAAGGTTGGCACCCATTGGATGCCAGAGACTGACGAGAAGGCAGGCACGCCGCACATTCATCAAAGTCACTAGGTACCTACCCTGCCGGCCCTTCCCCCCTCCCACCATCACCTTGTCCTTCCTGGGTTCGCCATGGGGCCGTTGCCTTGGGGGCTAATTGTTGGCAGAAGTTGGAAAGCTGCGACCAAGTCCCTGTTCTTTCGGATGAAAAACTCCGGAGAATAATAAAGATAATGGTAGGCACCTACGCTTCAATACCGTCGCCGGTTGCCGTTTGTCATTGCACTATCCGTACAGTCCTCAAGATCCATATTCTTCCTTACGCTTCTTTCTTCTTCCCTTTCTGTACGACACACCGGCGACCGAAATGGGCCCACGGCGCCGAACTGCCTTCATAACCCCTTGAGCCATTGCTTGCCAGGGAAATACACGGACGACCGGGGATGAGGGGACGCATCGAATGGTGTGTCAGTGCCTAAGTTCGAGCTAGTTGCAGTTAGCAACCTCAGAAGAGGCACATTCAGCGACGCATTCCAGACGACACTTTGCCCGACTTTACCATAAAGGATACTCCCAAAAAAGCCATGGAATCCAGCCCAAGTGCCCACCAGGGACCATGACCGGTGCGGGTGAGGGCACAGACCAGAGAGCGACTTGGAACAGCGAGGGGTGGGTGTGAAAGTCTGGGAACAGCAGCAGCAGTGCAGGACCAGCAACCACCACCACGACCATCAAGACAGATGGGATGTGACATTGATGTTGTCCGGGAACCAATGGAAAGTGCTCTCGGTGGAAGGTCCGGGCGCCGGGTTGAGCTTTCCTTCCACCATCCATGCCACCTAAATCGTCGCGGCCCCGCCGTTGCCAGCTTCCTGCCTGCCCAGGGCCCTGCTTGCTTCAATCCTTCCTGGCACTTGCACTTGCTGTTGAGCGTGGCGTGCCATGGCTCATGGCTGGTAGGTGCAGGGGGAAAGCTCGGGAACGCTTGGTACCTTGAGTGGAGAAAGTGAGGGGCAGCCCACCTCATCCAGAGTGCTCACTGTTCAGTAACTTCAGTGTCGCCCAAAACGGTCACGCCAAACCACCGTGAACAGAAAACAGCTCTCAACTTCGCCCACCTTGGACACCGCACTGCATCAGTGCATGCTCCTCCATACCTTACCACTCACACCGTAGGGACACTGTGGACGGCGGAAACCCAACTACCCTTCTCGTCCACCCACATCAACCTGCATCTTGACAACGAGAGTAATGAGGGAGCCAGCTAAGCACTCGCGGTGCTTTCCCTCCCTGGAAACTATCGAACACCAATGTTTTTGCCTCTGCTACCGTCTTTGGTCTTGTCTTCATCCCGTCTCGACTTGTCCCGGCGTGGTCTCATCTTGGGTAACCTTCATTCCTCCATGGAGCGACCGGCATACCCGGCAGGCCGCATCTGCACACATTACACACTACGTGAGCGTGGTGAGTAAGAGATGCGTCGGGACCAAAAAGTCACGTCCAAGTTGAACAGATTGCCCCAAGCTCACGATGTCTCTCAGATCTACAAGTATATCAATCTATGTTTTGGGCTGTCTGCGCCAGATATCACGATGCCAGATCGCCGATTCTACGCCAGCGATTCATGTCGCAATGGATCCCAGTGAGCACCCTGACAACCTAGTCCGGGTAGCCGTGCTGCGATCCACGACACTGTCACGGCCCGAGAAAAAACGGCAACTCCAAGCCTGATGTCACTCGCTATTCCCGCCATGTCCGCCTATCTCCTGCTGCTGGCGGAGACTACCCCCTTTGAGGCTTTGACCAGAAATACAATAACTTTGGAATGCCCCAGCATCCGCCTATAATAGAAAGGATAGCGGCCAAGGAACCTCCCAAAACCGCCTTCTTACAGACCAACGAACTTTGGACAAATCATTGAGGTCATTGGGATGTTGCGCGCGTGAAGAAACCAGCGGCACGCGTCCCCGAACGGATATACTACAGTATACAGGAGGTCAAACTTTACAGAATGCCCTGTTTTCAACCGAGATGTCTGCCCAACCCCGGTCAGGGGCCTTGGCCTCACTGGCCACTCCCTGCAGCTATGTCTTGCCGCCAAAGGACCCTGAATTCGTCTTGTTGCCATTGCCACCCGCCCAAGTCAATATTTTTTTATCAGCCGCTGTCTGCTAGGTGCATGATCCGAGGAACGACAGGTGATGTTGTCAACGCAGCTCAACTCGATGCCACATCGTCTTGACAGATGCATCATGTGCTAATATTGGGTCACAGAATGGTAAACAACACGGAAAGTTTGCTACTCTGTCCACCCACCGCCAATGCCAGAGTGGAGTGATTACGGCGTCCCCATCGCCGACTCATGTCCCGTCTTGCTTCGGTCCTAGGCGAGTCGTCGCGTTTCGATTGATTGCCTGCCGCTGTCATAATTCCAAGTTTCTCCCAGCCTGCCATGCACCGCCGAGACCGGTAGCCCCCAAAATGGAAAGAGATTGACGTCTCAACCCGCGATGAACCTCGACAGGTGTTAGGGGCTTAGAAATAACATGCTGAGCGACAGAAAGCCGTTGTTATTTTGCGTAAAAAGGTGGTTTGATTGGATGGTTGCACCGGAGGACCCTTCATGCGTCCAGAAAGTCAATATAAACGAGCAATGTCGTCAGAGGGCGACATTGAAACATGCCGAGCAACGATGGACCAGGCGTAAAACGAGATCGATAACATCAAGGCCAACGTTCTAAAGTCGACCTCCTTCGAAGAACGATGTGATGTAAGACGAAGCCGTCAAATAATGTCGTCTTGTGCTAGAGGTAAGGTCAGTTGCAGCGAGGCACTGTAGGAACTACCAGGGAGATTTGTCCACTGTCAGCCATCAACACGGTGCGCTTTTCCATCACGAGATGCTTAATGATCGGCCGGAGCCCTGCAAACTCTTTCAGGGAAAAGAAACAAGCAATGGGACTCAGATGACATCATAGGGATGCAAGGAAACCATCCTGAGAAAAGTCTTGTGTGGTAGGATGAGATCCACAGGGCACCACTTTGGTGACTCGCTCACCATGCTTCGGTCTGGTGGGTGGACTCGACACAGTCTTTCAAATCAACAGTGAAATGTCCGATTGGGCATAAACACCACGAGAATTTCAGGCGGTCAAAAGTCAATTGTCCCGGGGCCACGTCATGGTTCGCCAAGGGAACGATTCTGTCATCTCCCCTGTGATGGGTAGATAATGATTGAGACGGTTGCGAGGATAGGATACCGTTAATATAACGTTTTTGACGATCTCTAAGAACGGTTCAGGGACCAGCGCAGATCTCCATGGGCCGGATAGGGTAAGGTGTGTCATCACAGACCACCTGACAGGTCACCTGACACCGCGACAAGTGCCGGGCGAGGGTGTCTTGTCGCGGCGCGTCTGCCCCTCGATCAAGGCCTATTCCATCCCAAAGATCTCGACCAACCGTCCCGCATAAGACGAACTGCATCCAATCAGTGTAATCACTGCCTTTCTGTCACAGCCATACACTTTGGGTCTGTAACACCCATCGCAGATCCTCGCACAACCAGCAGCCTGTTGAACCAAGAACACCGACAGTCAAGCCATGGCCGAAGCGACCTCGACCCCGCGCATCACGGCGCAGTACCTCGACAACTACGTCGGTCGCAACGTCATGCTCATTGGCAAGGTCTTGCAGCTGCGTGGTGATTCTGCCGTTCTTGACGCGGACGGAAACGTCACTGCAATTCTCAATCGCGTAGGTCTTTAGCCCAAGATCTCTGTCAAGGCAACACGGCTTTGCTTCGACCGACTTTAATATATCGATAGATGGACGCTAACCCTTGACAGGATGTGCACCTCACCAATGGTAACGGTGCTCAGATCATCGGCAAGGTCAATCCTGATCTGTCCATCAAAGTCCTTACCTCCCGCGATCTGGGACCCGGTGTTGGTGAGTACCACTAGTTTCATCTGTCTAGAGATCATGTGTCCCGTCACGTTCAAACGGCATTCTGTGATGAGGACTTAAGACGTCGTTCGAGCCTAGCAAATTGTATCCTTGGCACATCATGGGGCTGTTCTGCTCAAAGATCCATCCCCATCTCATGTCCAAGAACGTGCTTCATGCTCTCAACATCTCTAGCAAACCCTCTTGCAGCACCTTTCATCATGAACACCCCCCCCCCCCCCCCCAAAAAAAAAGCACACCGCTGACAAACCTCTCTAGACTACCAGCTCGCTGCGGCCGTAGTAGAGGCAACGCATCACTACAAGCCCCTCTTCGTCTTTGACAATTGACGGCACCAGCCGTCCGGGCGTGTATACGGGCGCAACCAGTTCAACATTCCCGCACCCAGTCAACCCGCGCGCATTACGCCCCGAGCTCCCGTGACCCGGCCGGCGACGACCACCACAACCACGGCGAACTCCACTCAGCTGCGCAGACAGCAACAGCACCCTCCCCAGCATGATTATGAGAGACAGCAGCAGCAGCAGCAAACACCACCTCCCACTCAACGTCGACCGCCCCGATATATCCCGCCCACGCCAACCCCACCTTCCCCCAACCTGACGCGGTACCGATCAACTACCCCTATCCCTTTAACTCACCCCCCATCACCCCAGACCCAGAAGCGTCATGCCTCCACCATTCAGGCATCTCAGCAACCCCGCCAACATGATCGAGACTACCGACAATCTTCAACCGTGAACCACGACAAGAGGACAAGTCTCCCCTACCGCCCTTCTCGCACACCAGTCCGACCTCCAACACCGCCATCACTAGACATACCCACGTGGCCAAGCTTCGCCTCGTCAACGCCCGAACTTACCTCCACCTCAAAGCATCCGCAGATCAAGGCTTCTTCTGAGATCTCCAGTAGGATCGTCAAAGCCAGGAAGGGGCGAGAGGTTGAGGAAGGCAAACTTGGTCGGCAGAGGTCGAAACCAGGGGAGCCGGAAGTGGAGGTCAAGGAAGTTGTCCTCGACGACGACTCGGAGCTCTTGGGCGCTATTTTGGACGGTATCGGACGTATGGCGGTCGGCACCGTCGCTATGCGCATGGATGATGCAGGGCGGTGGAGGATTCGCCGTGACCCGGGGGAGGATAGTGATTAGTATCCCATTATGCTACTCTCGGGCGTTGCGGGTAATGCGCAGTCGGGGACGGGCCTGATAGGTAGCCCTCTTTGCAGAACATAAATTCTACGACTTCATGATAACACCTTTGTTACAACTGCGTGTCGGCTCGTCAGCGTAGGACATGTAAAACCATATTGATACCCAGACAACCCCAATGTCTATAATCAAGCCCCGATGCATGCTTCTGGCTTCCCAGCGCCCATATCCTGACACAGCCGGCTCATGGGCCTCCCGTGCCAATATTCAGTCTTCATCCTCCAATAGCAGCTCCTGTACTGCCTGCCAAATCTGAAGCAATGCTTCTTCTGTCATTTTCGGCTGATGTTGCCCACCCACGCTTCCCGAGTGCCTGGTGTTGCTACCTCGCCGGTCATCGTTCCACCAAGCTGCAGCCCCGCCATCACTGCTCCTCGTTCCATCCATCCCTCTCATAGCCCTCCTGATTCTCTCCGCCACAACTTCTCCATCCTCTGTTGCCAACGTTTCGATGCTGTCTCTTCCGCTTCGCGACGTAACATCAGTGTCATTTTGCGCATCCCCTCCTTTGATACCCTTCAGCTTCCGCGTGAAGTGTTCAAGGACCGAGACTCGTTTTTCTGCGGCTTCGGCACGAGATTTCCACATGGCACACTCTCTTTTGGATACTCGAAGCTGTTCACTGAGTGTTCCAATGTCCAAGTTATCTCTTGTCTCAAGTTGACGCCGAAGAGACGCGTTTTCATCATTCCTGACAGCCAGCTGCCTCTGAAGACTTCGAATCTGTGCATGAAGCATGGAATTGTTGCCCGGGCTTCCTGCTCGTGCCGGGATGGTATCCTCGCTTAGTTGACACACTGATAGAGTGGACGAGGGACGGGGAAATACGACATGCTGTGCAATAGGCGGCTGCTGAGCGGGACTTGTCATGGTCCCAAGATGAGGTAAGTTCTTGTCATTCTCCAGAGTATACACCTTCAAAGGAGACTTCCTGTACCCCGAAAAATCTGGTGTTTGCCGAAGTCGTGTCAGAGATGGCCTATCAAGATGGACGGCACCTCCGTCAGCTTCGGTTGTCTCAGGAACAGTCAATGACCCGGTGCTGTCAGCGACAGACCTCAGTCTATGGCCTGTCTGTCGATTCCTTTCATCCGAGAGCTCATAGCCTGGATCTGGGTCACTCTCTTTCGGAGCTACGACCAATGCTTTCGTTTTCGGTGTTTCAAAAGACTCAGTTTCTTGCCTTAATTGGAACAGACCCAAATCCGTCACACTCGTCCGGGAGGGGCGAGGGGTTGTAGGGAAAGACACATAAGGCGACTCCTGGGACGCATTTTCAAACATGGCCGCCATGGCTCGCACTCCCACTGGTTTTGAGATAGATCCATGCGATGGTGTCGAGCTACCATAGCTCCCGCCAGACGGACGAGCTGGCGTTATGACAGGTCTCAAACTTGATGCTCGAGAGCGTTGCGCGATTTCCCCCGCCATGGATGCTACACTCTGCGGCCTTGAGAGAGTCGACTGAGGCGACATTGGCGGTCGTTGAGACTTTGACTGACCCTGAGAGATGCCACCACTTACATCGGCTCGCCGAGGAACAAGCTTGTTTGCATTGTCCTTTAGATCTCTAGTATTGATCGAGGAAGGGAGATTATCGTCGATTAGATCGGCCGAAGGCAGTTTTTCCTAGAACGCCTCTGGCGAGACCGCAACGGGGAGTCGAGGCTGAATCTGTGACGCACTTTTGGTCGTAAACTCCTTTGGAGTGACCTGAACGGAGCCAATGCTTTCACATCTAGCATTTGATTCTGTGCTCTGACGCGGAGTTTGAGAAGGCGAGTTCGATCTCGGGACATCTCCATCTGGTTTCTTCCCACCTAGCCGGTTACCGTCGAAGCTATTTTCTCTGAAGTTCGCCTTGGCCGAGATTGACTTGTCAAGGTTTTCCTCAGTAGAATTTGCGCCTCTGCCCATACCATGGCCTTTAGACTTCAAATATGACACGGAATCTGACGTCGTTGTTGTGATGAAGTCTATTTTGGGCGGAGTGGGCGTACATGGGCTTACAGCATCCGGCGATGCATGCCTTGTCTTTGAGGTTCTAGCTGTTGGGCTTCCGGAACTTGAGGTTCGGCTGGAATCACTACCAACGAATCGACGAAGTGCCGAAGAGGCCATCCCGCTTGTCTTTGGCCTACAGCCCCCCGACTGCCTTACGAATTCGTTCCCTGGATTGGGCACATCTCTTTGTACCGGCCAGATACCCTTCTTGGAAATTGCGTATGGCAGTCGATTTGGAGATGCCTTCGCCGAGTTTCTTTCGACTGGGACTTCTTCCGATACACGGGGACTCCCTATTGAACGCTGCCTGCGGTGTCCCGCCAATGTCTGGGCTGCGTCAAGCGAGCTCTGGTTCTTTGAACATTCACCCACGTAACCAGCCAGACACTCTGCAGCAGCTGCATGGGATTTGATGGCGCGTGGCTTTACGCTGCTCTCAGAGTCATTTGATCGATCTCTTCCCAGCTTTCGCGTATGTGGTGAAACAGCTTTTGTGTCCGATCCTAATTTACTCTCCTTGAGGTCTCGATCATCTGCTAGACTTTCTTCCGCCGTGGGAGAGAGTGGATTGAGGGACTGGCGCAAAGGCATTCTGGTAGTTGATTGCACCTGGAAAGACTTCGGCCGTAGTCTTCCAACATGAAGCGAATCATCTAGATTCCCTGTAGTCTTCGACAATGTCAGACCCAAAGCCTCTGCAAGTGTGTCAGCTACCATAATCCTGAGACTTTGAATGCCTCTCTACTTACTAGGAGCCGGTGTTGGAGTAACGGGTGATTTCGACCTATGTTGGTTGATGGAAGATTGTGGCGAAGAGTGCTTGCTCCTCCAACCTCTAGGCAATCCGACGGCCAGAGAGTCAGAGTTCGATGAACGAAGAAATCTCCGACGACTCGTGCTTTCCAGATCTTTATTTGGCCCCCGGAAACTCGACAAGCCTTTCATATTGCGCACCACTTCTCTCCAATTTGAGATGAGCATCTCGGTGATGTCGTTTGCCACGCGAATTTTGTCAACAGACATGGAGTCTGTATTGTCTTGGATAGTGCTCTTTCGCTGTCGTTCCCTTTTCAAACGCGGCGGGGTAAGGGGGAAAAGCAGCAAGCCCGAAGAAGGGTTTGCGAGCTTCATTGTATAGGAGTCGAGCAAATTGCCGACCAGGAGAGGACCGAATACGATCCCCAAAGCTACGTATCCCATCAAATCTGACGTTGGAAGTGGCCGGCCCTGTTCATCTTCACGAGCTGCTGTCTCAGCAGCACGTCCAATAAGGGAAAGAAGACCAAATACAGCGCAAATAAGCTCCCGACGAAAGTGAGAATTGATGGTCCCAATAGCCATGGCAATGAGTCTAGCACGAAGCTTGGATTCTTTCGTTCTGCTGAGTTCTGGCTCTCCACGAAGCTGAGTGTGAATCGCGACCAATGCGTCAAAAAGGGTGAGAGAGCCAAGGATGCCACCCGGGAGTACAGATAGCAGTTTTTTGAAAGCTGAAGCTACATCTTGTGCACCGGCATTGATATGTGATGGCAAAGTAGGGCAACGTATGGTACTTGTGACTTCTTCTCCCGGCTTTTCGTAGCAGTAGTAGTCGAATATTGCATTGACAACGCGCAGCGAACCGGGAATGCGGAATACACCGCGTGTGACAGGTCCTACAGAGGAAGATATCAGAAGAAGCTTTCACATGTCCGGTGATGTTATTCACATACCATATTGAGCCAAGTATTGGGCAGTTGCCCTGAAGCAAGTCGGCACAACAAGTGAGCCAATAGCATAGTCGGCAGGGAGATGCAAAAGGCTCTTCCCACTCAGTCGAACCATGGCCTGTAGATCGAGTATCTTGGGTTCAGGTTTGCGAGAGTGTACCAATTGTAGGGCAATGTCGCTGACGCTTCGCTTGTGACGGACTCCGTGGGGTGCTCCTCGCGAGGTAGGCGGTTGCCCTGATGATGTTGAACGGAGTACTCGAGACCACCACCTCCGTTTCTCAGTCATAATGGCTGGCAGTGCATGTCGCTAGACTTGTTAGTGATGTCCCATGCCATGAGAACGTTGAAGCTTACTCCTCCCTCGAAGCCATCCACCGACAATACTCGAATTCCTTGCTGTCATCATACGTTAGTGAAATGCCGAATGCTTCCAAAGGGTCGAATGCTGCTATACTTTCTTGGCCAACCGATTGTAGTCCTGTACAAAAATTCGACGGTCCTGAATCTCGTCTGTGTCTGACAACAGGGCCAAGTCCCCGACAGAAGAAGTCCATGTCACGCTGCTTGGAAGAGCCCTGCTCCGTCGACCATCTCCAGTGACCAAAGCAGGAAGAGTACCTGATGTGGCTAGCGGTTGAGGATCGGCCCTTGATGGCAGCACAGAGGTCGTGATGGGTGGTTGAAGAGGCGCAGTACTGGTTGGCGCAGTGCTAACGGTCTGGCTTTCGATGGTGCCAGTCTCGATGTCCCGAGACAGGCCCGATGATAGTGATTGATCATTGTCGTAAGGCTGCATAGCAAAAAAAAAGAAATCGATTCTTTGGCCAAAAGTGGGCGAGATCGAACGCTGGAGCCCGCTGGTACTGTCTGGTACTGAAGCGGAGAATATCCAATGTCAGATGTCGAAGATTGTTGACATGGGGACGATGGAGAACATGGGGACGATGGAGAGGGTCAAGAAGTCAACGGTGCTTGGGTCTACCTACCTGCCTACCTATTTAGGCTCGTATGAGAAGTATCGTGCCTGCCCAGCATGGCCGAGCGAGCTGTTGGTGGGATATCTTATCCGATGTTCGGATTGTGAATGAATACTACTTGCCATAGGTACTTCGGTGTACGAGTACTGCTCCTGCAGGCCTCCCCGATGCCGACCCAGTCTCGTCAGGCGTATTCCGAAAAAGCTCCTTGCAAGGCAACTGCTTTGCATCTTGCAACATGTCGAGAGGCACGGGGACACCTCGCAATAGATAGTAATGACTTGGGACATGTTCTCATTTCGTAATGCATTCAGGTGGCCAACTTCTCCGTAAGCCTCCCGATCGTCTATAATGAAAGTAAAATGAAGAAATTCGGGCACCGTCTGGTATTCCTCCCAGTTACGCCTCTGTACGCCTAGCACATGCTCATTACCATGTCTACCAGTTCCCAAGTCATTCCAGCGAGGATCCGTCGCTCTTGGTTCTATGCAATTCCGTTTTTATTCCCACTTAATGCCCCACGACGTCGTCCTCTTCGCCGTGCAAAAGCACATATTTGAGAATATCGGACAAGGAGATGACACCTGCCAGTCTGTTATCGTCGTCCACTACTATGAGACGGTGAACTCTTGACTTCCGGACTGTGTCAAAGATCGAGTCTAATCTGTCCTCGGGACTGCAAGTGTAAATGCCAGGCGAATCGTCGGGACGCTTGACGAGTGCCTCTCCAATGCTTGACTGCAATTCTTCGTAAACGCCCCCCTTGATGCACGGAATAATGTCGACGGCTTCGAAGACGTTCAGTAGGCGGTTGTACTTGTCGACAATCGGGACGCAGGATATGTTTTGCTTGACCATCATATCGACCACACTAAGGACAGAATCGTGCATCTGCGCTGTAGCAAGGTCCTTGTATGTGCCCAACCCGATCTCCCTGAGGGACTTCTTGAGTAGAACAGTGTTGTGTTCGTTATTGACGGCGATGAATTTAAGAATTCTGTACTGTGTAATGACGCTAACAACCATCTCGCGCCCGGTCTCGTCGTCAACGTCAACGAGGGGAATTCGGCGCGCACGAGTCTTGAGCATGCGGCGGCAGGCCTCGTAGAGTGGTCTCATGGGGTTGACGGATACGGTCTCTAGAGGAGAGGCCCCGATGGCCTTTTCAATATCTGACAAGCGTCTTAGTATGCAACCGAAAGCCTGGACGGCGATGGGAGCGCCACTGACCTCGCAAGCTGCTGAGTCGGAACTGTTCCAGCTTATGCATCTCGTCAGGGAACTGGCAATAGTACTGAATCACATTGATGAAATCTGTCGCCGTCAAAAGGCCGGCAAATCTGGAATTGTGTGAATCCCATAGCGGCGCGGACACGATGGCTAGGACGACGGTCAGAACAAACATTCCGTTATGACAGAGTAGCATGACTCGTACCATTTTGAATGAGGATATTGAGACTCTTCTTGATCAAGAGGTCGTTGTCGAGGACAATGAGGCGGAAGGAGAGCGGTAGGACATCGTAGCTGGTTCGGACCTTGAGGAAATCGCGAATTGCCCTCTACAAAGACGAGCAAAATTAGCGACGGTTTGTTGCGGTACAAATATGCCCATTCGCAACGGTCTCGAGGCAGAAGCATAACCCCGCATGCGCTCGCATCTAGGGGCGCACGCGGGCTCAAGCACATAAATCGGCGATGCGCGAGATGGTCGAGGGAGGGGTCCAAGAACACATGTAGCTTACCAGGCCTTGAATCTGGTCCTTGTCGAGCGGACTGGGCGGCTTCTCTGGCATTTTGCGAGCAACCGAGGGTGGTCTTGGGCGAAGGTATGAAGAGGGCGTGACGAAGGGAAGCTCGTGACCATGTGGTCTCGCGATGGACGCAGCGGTAGCGACTACAGGCGGTTGTAGTGGACCATTACCGCTAGGCTGTTGTTGACTTGGATGCGACGTGGGCATGGAACCAGGACCGGCATTGTCCTTCGAAGCCGAGGAGGAGGAGGGGTCGTCCATTGCGTCGTCGTGGGAGGGCTAATGGCGCGCGTGGCCCCTCTGGACGTGTGGGAGGAACGGCGGGAGACGGGGAAACGGGAGGCAGAGACAATGGGTAGGAAAGAAAAACGGAGGGATGGAATTCGTGGTTTGGAGAATGGATTGGGCTGGACTGAACGCCTTGGTGATTTTTTTCTCCTTGCGCCGTTCTATTCCCCTCCCAACCTGCATCAGGAAGCAATGAAGTAGAGGCAAGGTCGTAAGTCTGAGGTAGTGGCACTGGTGGCACCGGCAGTAGCAAGGTACCTAGGTAGCAAATAACAGTTATCTCAACTGTACCGTCCCTCTTGTCTTACCTCAGATGAAAGGTACATACCGTTCCTAGCTGCCTTGCCCACTGCAGCCGTACCTCTGTTTCTAACTGGACTGCGTCGGGTATCCGTTAGGTTCCTCTTGTTAAGATAAGGCAGATAAGGATAAGACAAGGAAAAGTTGAAGCTGATGGGTTGAACAGTGAACTTGGGCAAACCCAGTCGATGAATTAGGTCGCTGGGGGCGTCCAACGCCTGATGCTTGGTGTTCTAACTTGTATTCCAGTCGAAATCTGGCGTGTTTAGCCTAGCGGGTGCGGTCGTCAATCAGGTCAACGAGATGCTTATAGCTTCTATCTAGCGCTGCGCTCATTGTGTACAGCAGCATCAGCTCCGTATGGCGATGGAGGCGAATTGCTGTGCAATGACGCATTTCGCCGTTGGTAATGGATGGTGTTACATCTCCACGAAGCCTCTATGAAGCCCTCTCGATGAACAAGCCCATGTGCAAGTAGGTAGAGAGATAAGGTATACCTACCTCGTGAGGCACTTTTCAACACTGCAGGTGCTCAACGGGATATCTGAACGATGATCCCTTCCGCCTATAATTGTCCGATACCTCGCCTTACTCGAGACAAACTGTCTTGCTTCGGCTCAAGCTTCAGAGACACGTCCAAAATCTTCGAAGGGGCGTGACGAGGCATGCACCTCGAGACATTTTTTGCAAATTTTCCTCCATTCCATATAGGTTAGGTACGTGGCCGACACCGCACATGATACTTACTTGATCAGACGGAAGATAATAGGACAAAATCCCCTTTGTTCTTCTATCTACTTTCGTTTTGCATCGCCAAAGCATCACAAAATGAAAGTCGAAGGCGCCGGTTAGAAGCTCTCTACCCAGCTCTACGGATACTCGGTATGTATAAGTACAAGGCACAGGATCAAAGCGGCCATTGTAATTGCGTGTGACTGGACCCTGGATTTCTGACTCCAAAGCGCTTGGCAACTTGGCTGCTATCGCCAAGTACCACAGTTGAGTGTGCTGTAGGGAACGTCTGCACGTTGAGACCTAGGTATCTGGTTCGCGCTCATCTGGAGCTTGGCTTTAGGCCAGGCAGATAGGAAGGCCAAATCACGGAACGGACGGTCATGAGGTGGTGTATCGTGAAGCAACGTAAGCTACCTTACCTGTGTCACATTTCAATGCGACCCCAGGAATGCGTGCATTCCCAGATAAGAGCAATGTCACGATCGCTCAGGTGCACATTGTGGTTGGCTTGGTGGGTAGATAGTCAGCCATGTGAAAGTTGGAGATGGTCTTCACCACAGTCCTCCATAGAGAATCCCATGGAAGGCTGTCAACCACTCACCCAAAGGTAACCTTAGGTACGATGGCGCAAAGATATCCGTACGTAGTACGTAGAGTCATGTCAAATTCAAGCCACAACGTCGCTAGCGTAGTTCCGGGAATGCTGTCACCCCGGACCGGCCGCGGCACACTGCAGGCGCTCATCTGGATAAAAGGAAAGAAATCTCGATGCAAGATGAGGCGGGTGCACAACACAAGGTGACAAACTCCTCCCTTCATGGGAGACGCTTGTTGAATTTAGTTCCCACATGTGAAGGCATAAAAAGTGGTGGAAGGGTAGCAAGATGGTCCGTGCTCGTTGTTCCCGATCAAGCTCGAGGCTTCCCGCGGCAGGTCCGCCCGAGGGAAGAGACATGGAAGAGAAGCCTAGGAGGAGGAGGAGGAGGAGGAGGAGAGGAATGCAGGTGGTCCTAGGAGTAAGGTGGGAATTGGCCCTCCAAAGTCTTGCTGGCTGCAGCGGCGGTGCGAAGTTGGAAGAGTGAGGCGGTGGGTGGGGTCCTTCTCTTTTTCCACGTCTCGTCGCAGAAACAAACAACCGTCCACTCACAGCACGAGTAAAAGCCGGACGACGCTGCAGGTACACTCGCTACGTACCTCTTGCACTGGGTCCCTTTGAAAGCCTCTAGACCGAAACAAGTTAGATTGCAGGTTCAAGGTCACCAGTCCCACTGGGCTCCACGGGCATTTGCTTCGTTGTGCTGGAGCTGCTGCTGAAGCTGCTGGCAGTGCTGGCGCGGTACGAAGCGTGGAAGCCCACCCCAGAGGTGAGGTATGCAGAGTGCACCGCTGTTTTGTGCTGTCCATGCTGTCTGACGCTTTCCGAGCAGGGCAGCTTTGCTTTCCATTTGCTGGTTGCTTGGTGACTGCTACTAGCACTTTGGTACCTATGCACTCTCTGGTCGTTCCTGTCCCCACTAACCTCAGAAAGGCCCAGTGCTGCTTCTCCGATTGCTGCTGCGGGCTGCTGCAACCTGATCCTGGGTCATTGCTCCGCGAGAGACAACTGGAGCAGCCGTCGCTTTCTTCCCAAAACCTCACTTGACCGACTCTATCGCCCATCAACCGACTAATATTCGGGCCTCTCCCACCCGCTAGAACCGACCGTCGCAATTCGCTGACCATCGACTTGCATCAAAATCTGCTTCTCAGACTAGCTCCATCGTCAAATCGACACTGCTATCCAGTGGCCAGAGTCACCACAGGCTCCGCATCCCTCTGGTCGTCGGGCGGCCAAACCGTTCGTGTTGCGAAGAGAAGCCCCATCCAAACAAACAAGGCCCGACTTTCTCGACCACCACCTCGACATCGAGTCTCGATATCATCAACATCGGCCTTTGTAGCCCACTTCGGCCATGGGAGCCTGCCAGTCATGTTGCGGAGGTATTAGCTTTCCATCGTCATGCCGACTACATCGCCAAAGCTAATGGGTGATCATGTAGGGAGAGCCCGCGATGGTCTCTACGAACCAGTCCTCGCCGATAGCGAAAGAGAAGCCGTTGCCGACCTTCTCCAGTATCTCGAAAACGTATGTGCTTTTTTCGTCATGGTCTATTTCGTCGACCTTCCATACTGACGTTGTTTCAGCGGGGTGAAACCGACTTCTTCTCAGGCGAACCCCTTCGAGCTCTCAGCACCCTCGTCTTCTCCGAAAACATCGACTTGCAACGGAGCGCAAGCCTGACTTTTGCCGAAATCACAGAGCGAGGTACGTCCTCTAGCCTTGTAGTCGACTAAAGGATCACATTGAGGATGCCATTTGCGACGTAGCATTTGGCGTAGATATGCTGACAAGCTGCTCCAGATGTTCGCGAGGTCGATCGTGATACTCTCGAACCGATCCTCTTCCTCTTGCAAAGCCCCGATATTGAGGTGCAGCGCGCCGCCAGCGCGGCGCTAGGAAATCTCGCGGTCAACAGTGAGTGAAGCGTAACAGGCAAGACTGCAGAGTAGATACTGACTCGATTTATCAGCCGAAAACAAGGTTCTGATTGTCCAGCTCGGCGGACTCACGCCACTCATTAGGCAAATGTTGTCGCCGAATGTTGAGGTACAGTGCAACGCAGTTGGATGTATCACAAATTTGGCCACACATGAGGAGAACAAGGCGAAGATTGCGCGCTCTGGCGCCTTGGGCCCTCTGACGAGGCTGGCAAAGTCGCGGGACATGCGGGTTCAGAGAAACGCGACTGGAGCTTTGCTAAATATGACACATTCAGGCAAGGCGTTTTTATCTCGCAAATTTGAACTCTGAACTAACCAGGACGATAGACGAGAACCGCCAGCAACTCGTTAACGCCGGCGCAATTCCGGTTCTTGTCCAGCTTCTCTCTTCATCTGACGTCGACGTCCAGTACTACTGCACAACGGCTCTCAGCAACATTGCAGTCGATGCTAACAACCGACGCAAACTTGCCCAGACTGAGTCCAAGCTCGTCTCGTCGCTGGTCACGCTTATGGATTCATCATCACCTAAGGTTCAGTGCCAGGCAGCGCTCGCTCTTCGCAACCTTGCTTCTGACGAGAAGTACCAACTCGATATTGTGCGGTCAAACGGTCTCGCGCCTTTGCTTCGACTCCTGTCTTCATCCTACCTCCCCTTAATTCTTTCGGCCGTCGCCTGCATACGAAACATCTCGATCCACCCCCTCAATGAGTCGCCCATCATTGAAGCCGGTTTCCTGAAGCCCCTTGTCGACTTATTGGGCTCTACCGAGAACGAAGAGATCCAGTGCCACGCCATCTCAACCCTTAGGAACCTCGCTGCCAGCTCTGATCGTAACAAGGCCCTCGTCCTTGATGCCGGCGCAGTTCAAAAGTGCAAGCAGCTCGTCCTCGATGTGCCGGTTACCGTTCAGTCCGAGATGACCGCTGCGATTGCTGTTTTGGCTCTTAGCGATGAGCTCAAGTCTCATCTTCTCAACCTCGGCGTCTTTGAAGTTCTTATTCCTCTCACTCATTCACCTAGCATCGAAGTCCAGGGCAACAGCGCTGCAGCTCTTGGAAATCTCTCTTCGAAAGGTTTGTTCAGCTCCATCATACCATGTTAAACTTTGATCTAACACCTCAATAGTGGGAGACTACGCGGTCTTCGTTCAGGATTGGAAAGAACCCAACGGCGGTATCCACGGATACTTGACGAGATTCCTCCAGAGCGGCGATGCTACGTTCCAGCACATAGCAATCTGGACTTTGCTTCAGTTGCTCGAGTCCGAGGACAAAAACCTCATTCAGTTAATTGGCCAAGCACAAGACATTGTTGATCAGATCAAGGAGATCGCCAACCGTCAGATCGAGCCGGACAACGAATTCGAAGACGACGATGAAGGCGAAGTTGTCAACTTAGCACAGCGGTGTCTCGAGCTTCTTGGCCAGAGCGGCTCGAAGTCTCACATTGAAGGTTAAACCATGACCTCTGCAGGGCATTTTGCAACATTATTTCATTCTCCAACTTCCCTAGCAGGGTACTACAGTAGGACCGAGGGGTCTGGGGTTTCTGGTCGGCGGTGTTTTGGCGTTGGTCATGCAGAATGAGATTCGGTTGTTACGTTGAGTTTATATTTCGGCGTAGAAGCATTTTGAAGGAGCGTTTATTTTGGCGTGCCTGCCCTCACTGGCGAGATCATGCCGCCAGAGGGGCGGGCTAGTTTCTCCTATCAGGAAGACCCGAACCCTTTACTTTGTACCAAGCATCATGGCTCGTTTGTCGGGTCGTCCGTGTCTCATATTATTCGGCCTTTTAACAGGCTTGATGAGCTTTTATCTGGTGCCATTGGCTCCCCTACCCGTTGTAATTAGGATCATACTTTAGAGGATTGGAAGAACAACTCACAATCTGTGACGAATTCAGCTTACGGAGTCTCCCGTCGACAACTTTCGCGTCTTTCTTGTATCGTATTTGTGACATGGCACAGTTGCTCTTGAATCTTGTGCGCCACTCACTCCCGGCCATCTTAGACATCGCGAAGCCCGTTCTCAGCTGTCCCTCCAGGGGAGAGAAGCGATAGCCACCATGGCTTATTGACAGCTTTTCCCCTGATCAGAGCCAAAGGCACTGGGCCATACAATCGCGAATCTCTCGATGCTTCGAGATTATCACCCACAACCCAGCAATGACCCTGAGGAACCTACACAGATATTCTTAGCAAGGGTTTCCGGTTGGGCGATGACCTAGATGTCGTTACCTGTATCATCTTCTGCTTCTCTGCATCAGGGCTGCCTAGCATAACGTAGTCGCCAGGCATACCTATCACGCGTTTGATGCCATCGGATTCTGGGAAGATTGGAATCTTGAAGTGAACTAAATCGCCAACAAGTACGTTGCGACCGTAACGATAACGATGATCGACTAGAATTGATTCGCCTGCCACTTGAAATGTTGGAAGCATGGACGGTCCCGATGCTGGGCCCATGAAGAAGCCATATTCCATCATGACATGACTAAGAGCCAAGGTTTTGCCTACGTTCATGGCCAGACGGAGAGGCTTTCCTGCCATTTTGCTAGGACTACTGTGTCTGTGGACTTGCAGTGTATCGATTGCCTGAATGTTTGATCTTTGGTGATTCAGGACGTTAAGACGGGGTGTGAAAGTGACAAGACACACGGAGCCGGCGTTCCGCGGGAGCTTGGACCATCGAAAGCTCGTCGCATAGGATTGTGATGTGTGATTGGTGGGAGAGCTGCCTTAGTTACCAAAGACCCCATGTGTCTTTCGCCTGTCTCTATTCCTCAATTCTGCAACTTGCAATCACAGGTCCAGCTCCAAACGGCAACCGTACAACAAAAGTGAGACTGACAGATTCGTGCCCGAACCGACACTCCTGAAACCCCGAGACGGCCATCTTACCAAAGAACGGGATCCCCGAGCAAACATGAGGATCACACAATGCCTGCACAACAGCAGGACGGCCCTGTATAGGGTCTTCGTCTCGCCCTTTGAAAAGGTGGAATCGATTTCGCGACGAAGCGCTCTCCTAAGCCCAGTCTCTAGGACCGTACCAACAATTCTGTCACCGCCGCTACAAGGTTTCTCACGCCACGCCGCCCTGATTCCCCGATTCAAAAAGAAGAAGCCATCGCCATCAGGACAAGTACCCGGTGGCGACGCTGCTGCCAAGCCAGGCCAGCTTCCCCAGGACAGGGCGATCTCCGATCGTGAAGTCATGGTCGTCGACGAGAACAACAAGCTCACCGGCCCGCATAACACCCGAACGTTCCTAAGGTCGCTCGACCCTGAGACGCAGTCCCTCCGAATGGTCTCCAGACCGCCCCCGCGCCCCGCGCCAGGCCAGCCGCCGTTTGCAATCTGCCGCATCGTCGACAAGGTCGCCGAGAAGGAGAAGGAGAGGGCGCTGCAAAAGGCCAAGAAGGATAACGCGCGCAGATTAGCGAGGGTCAAGGAGCTTGAGCTCAACTGGGCCATCGCGCCGCACGACATGGGCCATAAGATGAAGCAGATGAAGACGTTTCTGGAAAAGGGATACAAGGTTGAAGTCATTTTTGCGAAGAAGAAGAATAGCAGAATCGCTACACTGGAAGAGGCTGGCGCGCTTGTGCAGCAGGTCCGGGATGCTGTGGCGGAGGTTGCGGGCGCCAGGGAGTACAAGGAAGCCGAGGGGCAGCCGCGTAAGGTCATGAGGCTGCACCTGGAATCGACAGCGAAGCCCGCAGTTAAGGCTACCCCTACACCAGAAGCCCCGGCTGTAGAGGCTGCGCCGGAAACATCGACCTGATGTAGTGGCGGGCTGCTTGAGAATCGGGGTGGTTGAGCTGTGCTTGCTTACTCCATGAGACGGCACCTACGATTTGGACAGAGTCGGTGTTGGCCTGTACATCAGAACTTCCTTGGAAGGCTTGTATCATAGGAAAATAGTAGAAAGGGTCGTATTGTCCGAATAGAGCGGCCATAATTTTTGTGTCTCGTTCCTCGTCAGCAAATTATGTGTCCTCTGGACTTTGAGATTACATTAAATCACTGCTCTTTGCGACAGAGTAACAAACTGAATTGAACAGCTCGCAGCGTACCATATGATTACGGAACTCTTGCGAATATATCTCTGGAATCAAGTTACAAGCAACATGTGACTAGAATGACTATCTAATGGATTGGTGCTCCGCAGAGCCTTGCGATACTTGTTTAGCACTCTTCCAAGAGGAATAGGAAGAAAGCTAGTGCTTGTTAATCTTTCACAGTGCGACCATGTAGTACAATTGGCCTTCTTCAGCCCGGCATTCTTATGTCTTAGTCTACCTTGGGGTAGTTGAGAAGTCCCTGTATGTGTTTCTCATGGGATTCATACATATCTGAAAGAGAAGGACAAGCTTTGTTCATTAAGGTGGCTCCAGCAATCATTTGCACCGTTGAGCGGTGATTGGCACCACAACCAAGAACGTCACTCCCCGCACCATGCAGGTAAGCTTTAGCGAGCTTTTAGCGCGGGGCACCCGTCGCATCCCGCCTTGCAAACCCCTGTGACTCAACCCTCCAAAACTTCTCAGCCTTTTTGACTCGATCGAAGGAAACTCCGACCGCCAACCCGAAGGAGTCTCGACAAACGCTCCTAAATCCAACACAAACGATCCGATTCTACACGACTTTCGGTCTAAACTGAACCAAGCCCACCAGAGAAATTTCGCAACGCAAAATAGGGGAAGAGGGACGGAGCAATGGCGACAGAGACACCAAACACTGAGCCGCCTAAGGCTGTCGAAGACAAAAAGACTCAGCAAACTGCCAAGAAAGATGGCGGAGCGCAAAAGAAGGACGCGCCAGCTGCCCCAGCAGCAGAGGGAGGCGAGAAGAAGCTGTCAGGTGCCGAGCTGAAGGCAAAGGCAAAGGCTGAGAAGGCGGCGAGAAGAGCAAAGGCCAAGGAGGCGCAACCAGCACCACCGCCTGGCCAGGGAGGAGCTCAGCAGACCGGAGGAGGAGAGGCAAAAGGAGGAAAGTCAAAACCCCGACAAGATGGTCCTCAGGGCGCTGGTGGAGCTCGAGGCGGCCCTGCGGTCAAGGCCGTTCCGGTCGCGATCCCCAAGGACACCAGGCCCAAGGTCCCCGAGTGCTTCAGTCACCTGTCTATGGCCAAGAGGATACACATGACGGAGGTCGATAAGGACGTCCATCCGGCAGTTCTGGCTCTGGGCCAGCAGATGAGCGCGTTTGCGATTACCGACAGTACTACAAGACTAGAGGCGACTCTGTTGGCATTCAAGAAGGTAAGCCAACTACGGCCCCTTGTCTGAACCTAATATCAAGTGTGAGTCTTCTAACATTGAATCAGGTGATTGATTCTTACACAACACCCCCGGGCAACACATTCTCGCGCCACTTCACATCACACATCCTGAACCCTCAGATCGAGTACCTCTCGGCATGCAGACCCATGTGCTTCTCCATGGGCAATGCCGTCCGCTGGCTCAAGCTCCAGGTCAGCAAGATCGACATTGATCTGCCCGACTTTGAGGCCAAGAAGCTCCTCCGCGAGTCCGTCGACAACTTCATCCGCGAGCGCATCACCCTCGCCGACTTCGTTATTGTCAAGACCGCGGCTGACAACATCGCCGACGGCGAAGTTGTCCTGACGTACGCCCACCACCCGCTCGTCGAGCGCGCCCTCCGCCAGGCCCACGCAGACGGCAAGAGATTCTCCGTCACCGTCGTCGATGACCCTTTTCAGAGCACCGGCCGTGACCTCGCGAAGCGGCTGCGCGCCTTGCAGGGTGTTGAGGTGGCCTATAGCCCCGACCTGAGCGCCATGCGGGATCATCTCCGTGATACGTCGCGCGTGTTGGTCGGCGCGGAGGCCATGTTCAGCAACGGCGCCATGTACGCCAGGGCCGGCACGAGCGATATTGCCATTACAGCGGCTGATCAGGGTATTCGGGTCATGGCTCTGAGCGAGACCATCAACTTTACCGAGAGGGTCGCCATGGACTCGCTCACGTATAACGAGATCGATCCCGAGCAGAACACCGAGGAGGCTTTCAGACTGCTCTTTGACACCACCCGTGACCGCCACATCTCAGTCGTCGTCACCGAACTGGGCATCACGTCGCCTGTGTCTGTGCCTGCCATTCTCCGAAAGCTGGAGGAGTTGTAGAGCACGGGCGTAGAAATGGGGCAGGTGGTGTTTGTAGCAGCCATGGGGAAAGTCTTGAGGGGGGCGAGGGGTCCTGCTGCGGTGACCCCCTTAGATAGATACCAGTCATGAAAGCTCGATTGAGGTTGCACCATAGATCAATTAAGCATGAGAAGCAGTTCTGGAGCACGTCCTAAGCCCAACTTGATGATAGGGATGCCTTAGGGATGGCACTGTAGATAACAATGACTTTTACGGCGTCAATTAAGCCTCCCCTTCTTTCTACGTAACATATACAAAGGGACTCTGAAGGGATTTCCCAATTGGCGTCCTAATCAGTTCCCGCGCAATCCCAGTTCCCCCTCTAGAACGAGAATGATTCCTCGAGGCCCCGAATCGACACCCGAATTGGCCGGTCCCCATCTGCCTCTTCCTCACTCAGACGGGCGTCACAAAGCTTGTCTCCGCCAGAAAGCCTTTGGGTCTGGTCTCTGCCCCCCCTCTCTCTGTCTCTCTCTTTTGTCGATGATTTTCGTCCACTCTTGAAATTCCGTAGTCGTCTATGACTGCTCTGCCTCCTTGCGCGCCGCCGCCCTCGCGCGCTTCTCGAGCAGGATGGACTTGCGCTCGCTGAGGATGGACGACTGCCTCTCGTCGACGCCCTGTAGCCAGTAGCCAAAGCTGCCACCGCCGAGCATGTAGACGGGGTAAACCCAGAGGGACTCCTTGTTGAAGAAGGGGCGCATTTCAATGCCCATTTGCCAGAAGCGGACGGCGAAGCCTGTTGGGTTGAACGTCGAATGTTAGTGGACTACGTCTTGAAGTTTCCCGTGTTTTCAGTGGCGAAAAAGGAGCTTGTGACTATTCTCTCGTGAATCCGAACCAATTGGCCTCCATGGCAACCGGGAGATCCATTCCGTAGATTATCGTCGCCTGATGAAGGGGGGAGGGAGGTATCACGCACCGAAGCCACTCCAGAAGAGGACCCTGCCAACCATTGTCGCGGTGAATATGTGTGTTTCGTCTCGAGGGTGAGTGTTGGTAAGTCGATTGACGAAGGTGGGCCGCTTTGTCCGCCGGGACGTAGAATTGGGGTGAGTAGTTCGATTGGATTGGGCCGTGACAATTCGAGATACGATGTGAAGCTTCCCCCGGTGGTGACGGGCTGCAAGGTGTGTGGGAGGTCCGCGTACCCGCCGAGTGCACGGCCAAATGAACCAATCGCTGCGGTTTGCGGAATAATTGCAAATCCAGTTTTTCCGATTCGATCGCTGCCCTGTGCGGCGGCGCGGGATTTGGGGGCGTGCTTGGGTTTTAGGTGCTACAGCGCTGTAGGGCCCTGGAAGTTTGGCTGTTGAGGCGTCGAAGCACTGGAACATCGCTGTAAAATCCGGGCTCTGACGAGCTCAACTAGCTGACT